TTCCCAACACACCGGCGTTCCCCAGTGAAAAAATCCAGACAATACTCGTCACTCGTGTCCTCTGCAGCAAAGCATGCCACTCTGCACGAAGCATTCCTGTTCTGATCTTCCTCAGCATGCTTTTTGAATCAGTTACAATCACAATGTGTGTGTGTGTGTGTGTGTGTGTGTGTGTGTGTGTGTGTGTCGTGTTCTCTAGCCAGCGGAAAGCTGCTGTGACCGCCTCCACCTCCATTCTTAAGCTGGATGTTGTGGTATCATATGCTAGGCTCTCCTGCACTAAACGTTGACCATTAACTTTTTCTAAGAAGCCCCAAGCACTTCTTTTGCCTCTTGGCACTGAACCGTCTATATAAATGATCAAATTCTCTGAGCGAGCATTATCTTGAATTCATTGCTGAATTTCCACCTCTGTGCCACCTGCTGGCCAGTCTCTGCATTCCCGGCTCAGCGTTATTGTGACTCTGCACAAGTCTGACTGTTCAGGTGGCACTTTGACCCACTCCTCTCCTCGCCTAATGTTCTCAAGGATGCAAACCTGTCTGATTGTGTCTTCTGCCTGAGCCATCCATGACCTCCCTTAACTGCACCAAGAGCTTCATGCAGCGGGTGGTCATTGTCTGCAGCTACCCTGAGATGTGACTTCGCCTGCAGCGCCTTGTGCCTACCTGCAACCGTCGACAAACCAAGGATGTATCGCATACACACCACTGGGGTGTCTCTGGTGCAACCCAGAATGACCCGCATAGCCGCGTTCTGAATGCGCTCTAGTTTGTCCATCTGACTCTAATACCACCTAAAGTAACAAGCTCTATTTGCCTGCAGATGTGATTTTCTTTCAAAACATTTTGACTGAGTAGCCGCCTTACGATCAGCCATACGTGATTTGTAACGTTTGCTAGCTTTCTATCATAGGTAGTTTGAACACGGGACCTATTGTTTTCGGAATTATTTGAAACTGCAATAAAAAGTATATTATTCGGTTTCACTTTTGAAGATCTTTGAGACGCAAGCATCGGATCTTACACAATGAATATCAATTGAGATTACAACCGAATAATAGCTCTTAAATCTGATATTGTCGCCTTAACCACACACAGAGGTAGAGCGATTTTCGAATGGATCATTCTGCAATGAATGTTATATTTTAATTGTACGTGAAGATGTTCGAGTAACTTAACTCTATTTTTATTTGTGTGCAGTAAGCAATCTTTAATATCTCACTGTATCTCGTCAGGTGCATACTACAGAAACAATCGATTATCATGAAGCCAATTATTGATCCTTCGAACCGAAACACAAAATCAACTACATTTACAAACTGCCTGTTTCACCAGGGCAACACCAAGGTGAAAGGCATGTCTTTCTGTCTGCAGAAATCTAAATCAATCAGGTTGTTAGCCGAAGCTTCCCCAAACTCCAATAATCTGCGGTTGGCCGAAGAGTAAATAATTCGAAATACATCATCCTTGTTTACAATATGCCCAAAATTTAGAATGTTGAATTAGGAATCGACATCACAGCACTCAGGATACCCCCTCGTAAGCGCTCCGTCCCCATCTTCAGCAGCAAGCGAAGAGTTCCAATTCCTATGGCACCAGTTACTGTCTGATTGAATATCTGTCTCATCCTCCCTTGTGTGTTGAGCGTCGACCAGATCCCTTGTTAACTCCTCGCAGCGCCATTCTCCTCAGACGGTAATGATCGATCTGCGCTTCCGCACTGTTCACTCCTTCTTAAAGTGCGGTCTGAAGAGAATGGCGCTGCGAGGAGTAATTTGAGGGAGAATCATTTCCCATCAAACTGAACCAAATACACAAAAACATTGCAGTGTCCCCACAACATGAAAATTGCACTGTCTTGGCCTTTCTATACATTTTACTTAGACGTAGAGATGATGGCACTATTGAAAGGTCAGTTTATCGTAAAGTTATTTTGACAGGCCAGCGTGCCTACAACAATTTTAACAATTTTGCACCAATGCAATACAACCAGTGCCTAGTGCGGACCATTGCCAGTTGACCTAACAAATTACTGTAAAAACATCGGTGCCAAAAAAGAAAAAGTTTATATTTTATATCCATCTAACTTTTCGGGGAAGATGATGTTATGCAACGTTTATATGACCGGCTCAAAAAAGCAGTCAGCCAAACCTTTTACGCAGCCATGAATGTTATCAAATTTAAAACCACCGCAATTCTTATGCCACCAGGGAGAGACCCAGCGTCGACGTACGCAAAATCTAAATGTATTTACCAAAGTAAATGCACCACTAACGTTGCATATGTCGGCAGAACTGATCGACGACTGGAGAAACGGGTTGCTGAACATTTTCCACTGTGGGTGATAAAATCAATGCAAACCACCAACAACTCAACAATAAAGAATCGGGTGACTGGTCGAAAAAAATCCATCATCACCAGTTGCGTGCCTTATTCTAAATTCTACACACATGCCGTCATTGTAACTGACTCACATAGCATGTTGATAAAGGTGGAGACAGGCATGCTTCGTGCAGAGTGGCAAGCATCACTTCAGAGGTCCGGGGTAGTTAGCATCCTTTGGATATTTTCTTCAGGTCGTGCCAGTGTGTTGGTAAATGAGCAGGCAAATAGACTGGCCGGCTCTGCACAACTTGGTGGTGAACTGATGTATGACAAGCTAGGCCCTTTAGGAACGAGTGAACAGTGCGGATGCGCAGAGAGATCATGTCTGAGGAGAATGGCACTGCGAGGAGTTACAAGGGGGTCTGGCTGATGCTGGACACTCAGGGGAAGGGCAAGACGGATATACAATCAGACAGTTATTGATACCATCGGAATTTTAACTCTTCGCTTGCTGCTGAAGATAGGGACGGGGTGCTTGTAGGGGTGTCCCGATTGCTGTGCTGTCGATTCTTTATTCAACATTCTAAATTCTGGGCATATAGTAAACAAGGATGATGCATTTCGAATTATTTACTTTTCAGCCGGCCATTGATTATTGTCTGGCGGTAAGACTGCTTAAGGAAGTTGAAGCTGATGCTAGATGTGCACAACAGGAAAAATTCCTCAAGTTCTAATGGGTAAACCCACCAGCAGCTTTTTGTTTCCTATACGGTCACATATAATTTTCACAGTTTCTTCAAGCAGGACGTTTGTAAATGCTACATTCATTGATGCTATGTAATTTTGGTTTACATTGTCGCGGATAGACGCTCGCCAGTGGACCCGAAGGCCCGATTTGTTTTTTTTCAAAATTGATCTCGGCTCCCAGATCAGCCCAGCTTTGAACTGGTGCCAGGTAAAGTCATGGGAAGTAAAGGCAGCCGGTGACAATTGTGATCATATCACCCACTGAGTGCTGATTGGTTTATAAAATATAGGTCGTCCACCATACCCGGTATAGGGGTCCTCAAACACAGGATAGACTGAAATGAACCAATAGACTGCGATTTCTATGGGACGAATATGGTGGCGAGGTGTGATCAGTTCGCATGTCTAAGCGTTATCAGGTAACCATTATGCTAAATAGGGTATCACATGATATTTTTTCTCATCGCTTCGCTGTTGGGTGCAGCCAGCACAGAAGTACTAGTCACTGGTAGCTTTCACACGTTACAGTTTCTGCATGAGTCGCGTAAGCATGCCGTTAGTATATTGTTCCACTATATTAAAACTTTAAATAAGCTTTACGTGTTCGGCGAGGTAGAAACCTAGTGATGTATTTGTAATAAATAATAAACAGTAATAACAAGCAAAAGAATTTTTAAAAAAAATTTTTGCACTGGAAAATGTAAGCGCCGATTATAGAAGTTACAAGCATGTCTCGCCGCTGAGTGTACGAGGGTGGCATAGTTGGATACTGGTGATGATGATAATGATGATTACGACGTTTCATAAACTTTCTGACGGGTGCGCTAAGAGTTTAAAGAAACAATCAGGGTAAATTTAGGCATTAACAAGACATGAAATGAAACAGGAAGAGTACAAACAAAAGCAGAAGAAGAACGAAACATCTGGGAATTAGGGAATTGAGGAAAAATATCATATTAATAATATCAAAAACATTAGTTTTAGTTTGGTATTTCGACTAACCTTGAATGTGAGCAGTGCTCTGAGCGAAATATTTGCAGCTCCTACGAATTCAGCAACGGTATATTTTATCAGCAGCACATATCTGTGTTGAATTAGCAAGATCGTCGTGGAAGATAAATTTATCACATTTCATTACTAATAAGTTTGATGTCTTAATTAAATTTAATGTTTTTCTGTATGTGCAAAAGTATAGTTGTAATGTTCACTGTAAAACACAACGCGCACCTGTACTGTAGCCCTGCGACAGTCTTACTTTTTTTTTAGAGAACTTAGACTGAGTCTCTATACTAACCAAACTACTACTCAGAAGTAATGTGACTCGTGAATATGAGTTCAGCTCTCTCTCTCTCTCTCTTTCTCTCTCTCTCTCTCTCTCTCTCTCTCTCTCTCTCTCTCTCTCTCTCTCTCTCTCTCTCTCTCTCTTATCCGCTCGAGCGCCCTTGCACACAATACATACTGAATACTAGGGAAGTCAGGCCTTTTTAATAATAGGCTTGTGTCAAGCTCCGGGGACAATAATCACATCACTGTTGTGCAGTAATAACTGTTATACATATTTTTATTTATCATTTCAGTCTCCAGGTGAAATCATGATGAAAAAACGTAACATTATCTTGTTAATTGTATACAGTTTAAATATAGTTTTCATTTGTTACAGTGTAAAAATTAATTATTTAAATTATTTAAGTGCAAATAATTATTATCATTTAATTGCAGCGTAAATGTAATTTTTCATTTCTAACAGAGTAAATACATTATGTTGTAAATAATATTTTCATCCATTACAGTGTATATACAGTTTTTCATTTACTACAATGTTGGTGCAGTCTTTAATTATTACAGTGTAAACACTATCTCCATTTATTATAGCGTGAATACAATTTTTTCAGGTTGAAGGAAAGTATGTGGGAAAAAACTGACTAGAAATGGTCCGACAGGTAGCTCTGTTACCAGCTGGTTGCCAACCATGGAACTATGATGTGGTTTCTGTCAGTGGCAGCAGGTTCGCCTATGCCGCCAGTCTTGCAATTTATATCTATGAGGTAATTCTACATCTTGCTCTTGTGAAATAGTAAAAGAATGCAAAAGAATTTGAATGGTAAAGCAACTCAACTAGGTTTATGTTGGGGCCAAAATGTTGGAAAATGAGGATTATCGCGGCCCAGAGTCATTTGCCTCAGCATAAAAAGATTATTTTACAATACTTTTTTTCAGGTGATCTGTGGACCACTTGTTCCCATGTGGTTTCTCCGGCCCACTTTTGAGGTGAGAAAGAATAGACTTACAGCCTCCCTAACAAGCATGTCCTAACAGTCGACTAATTAAGGGTGTTCTCATCTAAGTCAGAGGGCATCTGCTCTGCCTGAGAGATGAAGAACCAGCAATCTGCAGACATAAGTCAGATCTGTAAAACAAATGTGTACACACAACTCAAGTTCTGGAACTGAGGTGCATGAACAACCAGATTTTTCCACTGGAGTTTACAGCCTGTGAATGCTAGGATGAACTGACTGACTGACATTTGACCCCACCAGGACATCACACCTAGTTATAATAAACACCCGAAGACACAAAGTGTCACCATTCAGATGAGGATCACACAGGGACAGGTCCCCAAAACCCTGTTAAAACTGTATTGTTATAATTGGGGCTCCCTGACCACAGCCAGGGTGGGGCTTCAAAATAACAAAAACTAGCATCTCACGTGGGGACAGACCAATAAAACTAATGCTAGGATGAAGAAATCTTGTACACATTTATATGAGTTTAGACTGACCACAGAGCCATGCTGTTCAGACAAAATAACCCTGCTTCTCTGCTATCTTGCAGGCAACTGCACTATCTTATAAAATGGTAGATTTACATATAATTATTATTTTTTTTTTACTTTTAGCTTGACCATAAGTACAGTGAGTACCGCCTGCTATCTATTATGTCTGAGCATAAAGGTACAGTAACCTGTATATGCTGGTGCCCTGAGAAACCAGACTATCTGGCAAGTTCTAGCCTTGATGGCACTGTCATCATCTGGGATGTTACCAAACAGGAAGTTGTGGCTAGGTAAGGAATTTTGGACTAGGAATGTGGGTTGTGACCAGTGTTTTCTTCTTTTTTTCTTCCCAGCCCCCTACCTCATCACACTTCTTCTATTTTTCTTCTTCTTTTTCTTCTTCTTCTTTTTCTTCTTCTTCTTCTTCTTCTTCTTCTTCTTCTTCTTCTTCTTCTCCTTCTTTTTCTTCTTCTTCTTCTTCTTTTTCATCTCCTTCTCCTTCTGTGTTTGCCTTTAAAGGTAATTTACAACATACATTTTAACAGGGTGGGTGTATACCCCCCGTCCCCCACCCCCTTCCAGAAATTGGGCCTGAAACACACGAAGGGACTGACCAGTGTGTTTTAGGACATTAACTCTTTGAGTCTCAGGGGGTTTAGCATCACAGGCCCAGGGGGTAGTAAAGAAAGTAATAAAATCGGCGCATCATGTGTTCACTGGGCTTCTAGGTAGGAACCTATGAACGCATGATGCGTTCCTTGGGACTCAAAGAGTTAATATTCTTGAAAAAGAGGAAAATGAAGTAGAGAAGAAGAAGAAAACTGGATGCAGATATTGAAAACAGTGGTAAAAGTCTACTAATATTTGCTGTAACCTTTTTGAAAAATGGTGAACACCAAATGCAACAGACCCATATCATTGGAGGCTCTGAAAAAAAATTCTTTCATGTTAAATAAAAGAGTTTTTAACATAATTCTATGAATCCCTGACAATAATTGAACAAACAATGAATTCAAGATGCAGTAGAGATTGTTAAAACATAACAGCAACAAAGGTAAAGAGCAACAGATAAGATGATTTGGTCATCTCATGAGAATGCCCTGGGTCCAACTGCCACAGAGAGCCATACTGAAGAAGTATCATGAACACTGATTGAATGGAAAACCATGCAAAAGAAATGAAGACCAGCTTATGCAGTGCATTAGAAAGAGCAAACAGAAGATCCTTACATCTCTCCAACACTTTAGTAGGGTATTTGGAGGAAGAAGAAGAAGGGGAAAAGAATACATAAGACTTGTGGAATATGACAGAGAGACATTTTGAAAGACTGTTATGGAAACAAAGTTGCTTAGATCAAGCTAACAGATAATAATGAATGTGTTATGTGATCTCAACACCTGCCATCACTTATATAAGTTCAAAGCAATGTTTCTCCGGTGTAAATGTGAACAAAGATGACACAAACAAAAGATTGCACAATTTATTGCCTGGAATATTTCGCTGTTCCCGCAAAGATCACCCCTCTGTAATAGCACCACATCTTCTAAAATCTGGACACGTGGTGACTAAACGCATTTCAAATCCTTCGTACGTCAACCACTGGCAGAACACTAAGATTTCTCGAAAGCTTTCGTGATTCGTCACCTGCATCTAGAAAACTGTATTAAGAAAGAGATGGTTCAGTCTTTACGGCTTTCCTGGTTAAAAACAGGCAGTCATTTTTGATCAATGTTGAAATTGTACTTTAGTTATAAAGGATTCACTTATTTGCTTCATTTATGTAATTGTTACTGTAGTATGCACCTGACGAGATACAGCGAAATATGCCAGGCAATAAATTGTGCAATCTGTTGTTTGTGTTGCCTTTGTTTAAATTTATATAAGTACTAGTGAATACTTTTGACTATATTTCTCAAATTATTTGTAACAACCACATTCTCCTTCTGCCTTCCTAATCCCCAAAGGAGCATAGGCCCTCTACCAGCTCATGCCAAGTGGTTCTATCCTTCTTTTGGTGCTTTCCCGATATCTCACCCCAGGATGACATCACGGAACAGTGCAATATTTTAGAGGATGGTAAGAGCGGGTTTCCCAGCTTTCTGATGCTTTTAACTGCCCCAAAACATCTAGAACTGGGCCTAACCCCAACCCACTTACGTCTCACGAGAGAGTGCAGCCTAGGTCCCACGACTGCATGCAGCCTAGGACCCACGACTGCATGCAGCCTAGGACCCACGACTGCATGCAGCCACCCCCTAAAATATTCGACTGTCTGTTTTGGGGGAGATATTGGAATAGAACCCATCTGTTTTATTTCTCTCTCTGGCTCCCTTCTCCATGTGTTTTTTTTTGGTCTTCTGTCCCCTGTGAGTTTCATTGCAAAGATATTCTTCTGCATATCCACAGTTCCTGAGACTCAATTAAGTTTTATAATTTCTTGTTTATTGTCCAGGCCTCTACATCAGCAGCGTCCTGAAAAAGACATGCAACTAATCTGTTTTAATTATTTGTATAATCTGAAAGGACTTCCCATCATCATCATCATATAGCAGATCCTATGCAGAACATTGCTCTTATCACAGTCTGCCTAAAAGAAACTCGGTCTCTAGCCAGCTCTCTCACCTAGTGTAATTTTCTTATCAAAGGAGCCACTTTTATCCTGTGCCCAACTTCGTGTTGTTCAGCCTCTGCCCCTCCTTCCTAGTGCCTTCTTATTTTTTCCCCATCTGCCATGGCAATTAATATGATCAAAAGATTTCAGCTTCTGAGACAAGATGCTGTTTATCAGCCAATCTTCCTTGATGTTCAGATTTTTTTTAATGTCAGTATTTCTGCTCTTCTTTTTCCATGGTATTCTGATAATGTTTCTATAGCTTTTCAGCTCAGAGCCCCTATTTTCTTTCTTAAGGACTAGGAGATAGCCCAGGACTCACATCCTCATGCTGCTACAGAGAAAATGCATACTGTTGAAATTTTAATTTTGATTTCTCTGCTAGTGCTTAGCCATAGACTTTTAAAGCTGTTTAAGGACTTCACAGCAATTGATATTTCAGTGTATTTAAATAATTTCAGACACAACCACAAGGAAGCAGTCTGTAACATTGGATGGACCTTAGACCAACAGCAGTGCCTCACAATAACTGGAAAAAATGGTCCCATCTGGCTTTGGTGTTTCCAGAACAGCCAAAATCTGTCCATTGTGAAGGAGACACAGTCTTTTGCATCGCCAGTTACCTTGTTTCGGTGGCATCATGCAAAAACATCACAGGTTGCTGTTGGTCATGAGAATGGTTCCGTATCCTTCGTGCAGATGGGTGAGTGGTTCCATTCCAGTTTCTGACCTTAATAATAATGTTGTAGTTTTTACCAATGTATGTTCTGGGGCCACATCTGTGGGGGGGGGGGGGGGGGGGGGGGGTTAGACCGATTGCCCCTAACAAGAATATCATACAAGACTACCAATTATGATTTTTCTGAAATCAAATGTTTTGGCCTGAAAGGTGCAGATACCGCAGCCTAGCACTAAACCACAACATAACATGCCAACTGCCTTATTAAGGATGGAGGCAGAAGAAGATATTGTGGCTTGTCTTTTTGTTTTCACGTAATTGATGAGCCATAATATATGAGGATTCATCATCTTCACCCTTCCAGATTCAAAACGGAGTAAAGCAAGGATGCGTTCAGGTTCCCACGCTGTTTGGCATCTTTTTTACTGCATTATTGGGGTGTTCATTCAGAACGGCCACTAAAAGGATAAATCTATGTTCACTGTCAGATGGCAATCTTTTTAATTTGTCTAGGCTACGTGCATGGACGAAGATGCACACAAGATGCCACAGGGATGATGCAGCCATTGTGGAAAATACAGAGGGTGATCTGCAGATCCTCATGAATCCCTTTGCAAATGTATGCAAAGAATTTGGGCTTACCATCAGTCTCATCAAAATGCAAGTGATGGGAATGAATGTTGAAAGTGCCCCAAATACTGCTGTTGATGACCATCAGCTGTTGGCTGTACATGAGTTTGAATACCTAGGCTCACGAATCTTAGGAGATCATTCCCTGGATGCAGAGATAAATAGACATATATATATATGAATCCCTTTGCAAATGTATGCAAAGAATTTGGGCTTACCATCAGTCTCATCAAAATGCAAGTGATGGGAATGAATGTTGAAAGTGCCCCAAATACTGCTGTTGATGACCATCAGCTGTTGGCTGTACATGAGTTTGAATACCTAGGCTCACGAATCTCAGGAGATCATTCCCTGGATGCAGAGATGAATAGACATATAGGAAAGGCCTCTGCAATGTTTTCAGATCTCACTAAGTGAGTTTTGTCAAATGAAAAGCTGACTGATAATAACAAAATGAAAGTTTATGAGTCTTCTGTCTTGAGCAGGCTACTGTATGGTAGCAAATCCTGGACTTTATTTGCTTCCCAAGAAAAGAGACTGAATATCTTCCACATGTGCTGTATAAGGCGCATCCTTGGTATATCAGGGCAGGACCTTGTCTCCGACGAATGTTTACTCACAAGAGCAAAAATACCATCAATATACTGTCTACTGAAGCAAAGACGTCTGCGCTGGCTGGGACATGTCTCCCGCATGGAGGATGGCAGTATTCCAAAGGACCTCCTGTATAGTGAACTGGAAACTCGGAATAGACCTACGGGGAGGCCAAAGCTACGCTATAAAAACATAAGCAAACGTGACCTGATAGATACCAACATAGGTACTGAAACTTGGACAAAATCAGCTGCAGATCGACTACTATGGTGACAGAAAGGGAAAGGTGGATTGTTGCATTTTGGAAAACCAAACAGCAAGCTATAGAGAGGAGCGCCGGAGAGAGTAAATCAGCCTCCTAGAGGGAGAGTATCTGCTTTTCTCTGTATCCTAGGTGGCAAAAGCTGCCACTCCTGCATCAGACTTTACAGTCACAGCAGATGCTGTTCCGAAAGCCAGCGGCACATCTCCATAGTCCCCAGGGACTGATGGATGCCTTTATTTATTTATTTAATTTTTTTTTTTTAGGTTATTTTTGCCATGACCGTTGTCACTGTTTGAGAGTTACAAAACATTGTATCTTATGCATAGTAGTACAGAATCTAGCAGGAATTCCTTCCATTGGTTTTAAATTTGAATCCACATCAAGGCAGATTTTTTAAAGTTCTCAGGTCAAACAAACTTAGAAATGTGAATCGAGAAATTATTCTAGGTTGCTAAGAATTCTGGTATGATATCTGTTGTCATGGATTCATTTATAGGTTTCGACTGTTTGTGTAGGATTATTTTGTCACCTGTATACCTTTGGACATTAGTGTTGAACAGGGTGGGGGAGCATTGTGACAGTTTAGTAGGACTGATGGCATAGTTTAATTTTGCTGTATTCTCTAACAAAATTAACTCTGAGTACCAGTGAACTCACCATACCTTCCTTGATCATTGTGATGATAATATGATGTTCTTGCTGTCTTCTCTCGCATATATATGTTGTATTAACTCAGTGTATCTCATTTTAACAAGTCCCATCTGCCACTGTCTCTGCTGAACTGCTTCAGACATTATGCATCTTTTGCCTTTAAGCTCAACTCATTAAAACAGAAAGAATTTAAGTAAAAACTGTTTGGGACTGAAATGTCTTGAAGAATATTACCTCAGTTCTTCTAGTTCTCATTTAAACAGTCCTTATGGTTTGTTTATGTTTTAACTGATGTTCTGTTCAATAATTCTGTCGGCGGTGCTAGAAGAGGTCCCTGACATTGACCATATCATCGATCTTGTGCTGACTAGTTTATAACACAGTTGTGAGGCTAGCAATTTTTATCCTGTAGACATCACACATTGAAACATGTCAGTTATTTAAAGAAATTGCTATGTAACTGGCTTATAAACATTTTATTCAAATGACGATTTCAGTGTTCCTTTATTTTCAGATAGAAAGCACAGAAACATTTATTTAAATTTTCATATTTAAGGTGAGAAAGCTCAGAAACATATATTCAAATTATTATATTCCAGGTGTGAAAGGAAAGAAATGCTTACTTAGATTATTATATTTCAAGTGCAGAACCACAGAAGCACCTACTTGAGTTATGATATTCAGGGTGCAAAAGCCGAGAAGCATGTATTTAAATTATGATATTCAAATTTTTAGAGCAGAGAAACATGTATTTAAAATAGTAAATTTCAGGTGTAAAGCAGAGAAACATGTATTTAAAATAGTATATTTCAGTTGTTAAAGCAGAGAAACATGTATTTAAAATAGTATATTACAGGTGCTAAAGCAAAGAAACATGTATTTAAAATAGTATATTTCAGGTGTTAAAGCAGAGAAACATGTATTTAAAATACTATATTACAGGTGTTAAAGCAGAGAAACATGTATTTAAATTACTATGTTACAGGTGTTAAAGCAGAGAAACATGTATTTAAATTACTATATTACAGGTGTTAAAGCAGAAAAGCATGTATTTAAATTACTACATTACAGGTGGTAAAGCAGAGAAGCATGTATTTAAATTACTATATTACAGGTGTTAAAGCAGAGAGACATTTTAAAATATTATTTTCCAGGTATTAAAGCAGATAAACTTATATTGAAATTATTATATTACAGGTGTAGAAGCAGAGAAACGTGTGTTTAAAATATTACATTCCAGGTGTTAAAGCAGTGAAGCGTGTATTTAAATTATTGTATCCCAGGTCTTAAAGCAGAGAAGGATGTATTAAAATTATTATTTTCCAGGTATTAAAGCAGATAAGCAAATATTGAAATTATTATATTGCGGGTGTTAAAGCAGATAAAAATGTATTTAAATTACTGTATTGCAGGTGAGAAAGCACAGAAACATGTATTTAAATTACTGTATTGCAGGTGAGAAAGTACAGAAACATGTATTTAAATTTCTATATTGCCGGTGAGAAAGCACAGAAACATGTATTTAAATTGCTATATTGCAGGTGAAAAAGTACAGAAACATGTATTTAAACCAGACCCAGCGACAGACAATGACAATCTATCAGACCCGGTTGTTGTGCTGGAGTGGGACCCCTTGTCTACAGATTACCTTCTCATATGCAACCGGCTAGAAGGCATTCAATTGGTCGATGTTCCAAACTTAAAGACCATCATGCTCTTCCAACTTCCTAGTGCCGCATCAAATGTTCAGACACTCACTTGGGTGAAAAGTGCTGCTGGCATGTTTGTAACGGGAGGTGAGACAACATATTCAGCACATTATTAACTCTTTCCAAAGATTCACACACACAAGCAGCTGATAAATCCTGCCAACTTTGTGCTATTAATGCCGAACTTGGACAGTTCTATAAAAACATAAACGTGTGAGATGAGATGTATAAGAAATGTTGCGGTGAAAAAACAAGAAGAGACAGTCACTAACTAAGAACAGTGGTAGGCACAGTACCAATAAATGGTTTCATAGAACATCATAGAATAAAATAGTTTGATCATCTGGTCAGAATGGAATAAAATCAGCCAGCAGCTAGAGTGTACTACATGAGAACAGCAGGCTACAAATCAAGAGGCCAACCATGAGCGAGATGGGTGAAGGCAGTAAAAGAAACAACAGAAACACAATATGGCATTAACAGAGGCTTCCAACTACCAGAAGACAGGAAACTATATCTGGCTCCTCTAAGTGATGCTTCACAGCATAAGCTATAGGACAACAGAAAGAAGAATAACTCTTTCAGCTTTTCTGGAATTAAGTAGGTAAAGGACCATCTTTTCAGGCCTTTGGCACATTGGGCATATGGTGCTAGTCCTATATTTTTTTATAGACCAGTCACATTTACTTCCAAGGACATTACCTGGTTCCCATTTAAGGTTGGGTCAGCCTATGAGCCAAGGCCAGTTTTGAAAAAAAAAATACACCTTGATACAGGTTTCTTCTTCTCTTCTTTACGTTCACTTGTTGTAAACTCTGGTGGAAAGTTATGGCTGTTGTTTGTCTACTTTTGCGCTTCAGTCTTTTCCCAGAACTTGCCTTCTGCATGTACGTACATTTTACAGATCTGGATTATGTGTAAACACTGTCATTTCCTCACCCTTTAGACAGAAGCACTTTGACTTTAAAAGGAAACCTCTAATTAGTCAATTGTTGTGACATGCTGGTTAGGGTGATAGTGGGTTTATTTTTTTTATTTTTTATTTTTATTTTCCTACAGTGGGACCTTTGGGTGTCTATTCGCTACAATCCTGTGGTTCCATGAAACTCAGTCATTCATTAATTCAAAGATATTTCTGCATCTTCTCTTATCATAGTTGTTACATTGACTAATTAATCTGAATTGTTATTTTTGTTTCTTTCTGCCCATAGTGTTATTATTTTGACTTCTTTGGACTCATACATTGACTACTTTAAACTAGCAGGGCTTTTTGGGAGAGAGTGAACAGTGCGGAAGCGCAGATAGATCATTACAGTCTTAGGAGAATGGCGCTGCGAGGAGTTACCAGGGGATCTGGCTGACACTCAACACTCGGGGGAAGGATGAGACCGATATACAATCAAACTGTTACTGGTACCATCAAAATTGGAACTCTTCACTTGCTGCTGAAGATGGGCACTGAGCACTTATAGGAGTGTCCTGAGTGCTGTGATGTCGATTCTTAATTCAACATTCAGCATTTAAACTAGCATTTATTGGGATATGAGGAATTAAAGTTGTTATAGGCTGGTACCGACAGTGTTAAATAGCTTGCCAGATTGAATTTATGGTTTTAAAAGTGCCCTCAAAAAGCTTTATTGTCATTTGTGGACATGTACGGACCTCTAATAAGATGTGATGTCCTCTCATACGCAAGGCTACAGGGGTCAGAAGAAGGGAAGAGAAGAAGATGCAGACCAAGAAAGACCCGGATACAGAACTTGACAGACTGGACAAGCCTTAGGCATGCAACCATCAAGTCCATTGCATCTGACCATCAAAGTTGGAGGGAGCTGATCAGACAGTCAACAACAATTTGTGACCTAACAATAATGAGTCGTTTGCCAGACTGTATTTATAGTAAATAAAGTTTATTAAAGTTTTAAGGTAGTAAAACATTTATTAACCCACCTTGAGGTGTTTGGGACATATAATGCTACATCCATATTTTTGTGATCTGTAACAATTTCATGTTTACTATACATCCCTAAAATGGAGGAGAGTGGCCAGTTCCTTTAAAAGCCATTATTTCTGTACAGACTAATTTTTGTACTCATTTTGCCAGGTTGGATTTCAGCGACGAAAAATATGCTGGTTGGGAAGAAAATATAGACCCTGCCAGAAATTCAAGAAGTCGATAAGTTTCTCACAAATGGTTATAGGATGGCAGGAGAATGTAGTTGGTGGTTTCTAAAGGTGTCATTAGGTGACAGCAACTTTAAACTTTATGTCTCCGTTCGTAGGTGGCGCTAGGTGTTGCATGCGCATTCGCAACATAGAAACAAAATTGCGAATGTACTTACAAAGTGTACCTTCAGAGAACAACATGCTGTTATGCGGTTTTTTGGGGGGTTGGGAGGGGTGGGGAGCCAAAAGGGTTGCCTGCAATCATAAGGAAATGCTTAATGATTATGCTTACAAATATTTATTCTGTAAAAAGATGCATAGCTGGGTAACAAAGTTTTCTCAAAAACGCTTGAAAATTGTTGATTAAGTCTGATCTGGTCATCTTGTTGAGATTGCAACAGACACATCTGTGCAGCAGGTGGAGGAAATAATTAGAGGTGACAGGCGAGTAAGGGTTGACTGTGAAGCAGTTGCAGTAGGGTGTTTACATGGTTCAGCATACAACATAATGCATGATCTATTGAAATTTAAGAAAGTGTGCTCAAGTTGGGTACTCAGATAATTGACTGACAAACTTTGAAAGCATGCTGAGAAAGGTGAAGACAGGGATGCTTCGAGCAGAGTGGCAGGCTTCACTGGGAAGGTCACGGGTAGTGAGCATACTTTGGCTCGTTTCTCCAGGCTATGCCGGCATGGTGGGTAATGAACAGGCAGACAGATTGACTGGATCTGCACCAGTGGGTGATGAATTGATACATGGCAAGGCAGATGTGGTCAAGGCCCTTTGGGTACAAGCAACAGAACCAGTAGAGAAACAAGATTATTATAGCCTGGAAAGAATGAGGCACCTGGGTGTAACCAGAGGGTCTGGCCGGCTCACTACACTCAGAGGAAAGACAAGACCTGTGACTTGTACCATCAGTATTGGAACTCTGCACTGGCTGCTGAAAATGAGGAGGGAACACATATGGGAATGCCTGGAGTGCTGTTAGGTCAGTTCTTGACACAATTCAACTCAACTGATTGACAAACACAAAATGAATCAAGTAGGCCTGTCCTTGCAGCATCCTGCCAATATGCAGATGAAGGAGAAGACATGCTGAACAGGATTATTACTGGGGACGAATCATGGGTGCATTACTACCAGTCCAAATCAAAGTGTGCTTCTGTGCATTGGAAACATCCTTCTTTGCCTTGTGTTCACAAATTCAAGTGCAGGGAAGGTTTTGCTAACAGAATTCTGGGATTTTCAAGAAGTTCTTTTGACCAATTTACAAAAAAGAGGTGACAATGTGAATGCTGATTCATACTGTAAAGTTTTATAAATGCCTCATGATGCAATTTGAAGAGAATGTCCAGGCCTGCTGACTAGAGGAGCACTGCTCCTTCATGACAATGCCGGGCCACATACGGCTGGGTTAACTCAGGAGAAAATTAACCATCTAGGTCGCAAATGACACAGAAGTTGAATGGGAAGTGAAAATGTGGTTTAGAAACCAGAGCATGCAGTTCTATGCAGCAGGTTTTGAAGGACTGATAAAATGATGGGACAAGTGCATCAGTGTTGGTGGAAATTATGTTGAGAAATAAAGGGACAGTGTATGTGTAAAATTAAATGGTTTTCAAGTTGTTATTGTCTTTAGTTTTTTGTTTGTTTTTTAAACACCTATTAATAACTTACTTATCGACTTTCACTACTGAAACCCAGGATCTAACTTGTGATAAAACATTGCCCTGTCTTCCAAACACCCTTCTTCTTCTCCTCATTGCCCTCTCTTCCACATATATATGCTTGTTTGGCAGCAGTAGGTCTAATCTTTCATCTTTTCTTCTGCTTCTTCTTCTTCTTTACTTCCTCTTTTACCGCTTCAGGTGTTGCAGGAGATGTAAGATTCTGCTTCTTGCTTTTCTGGCTGCCTTGACCATAAACACATAGTGCTGTTGTAAAGTTTCTTTGATGCTGTCTTTCCATCTTGTTCTTGGTCTACCTCGTGATCCATGTCTATTTCCTCTTTTGATGGTATGGTGTCACAAGGTATTCTCTCTAAGTGTGAAAACTATTTTATTTGATGTCTTTGTATATAATGTAGAATTGATTCTGTGCTGATTTGTTCTCTTATGACCTCGTTCATGATTTTTATCTTTGGTCACTCCTGCAGCCCTTTTTAGACATCACATTTCCATGGTTATCTATTCTTTCTCCCCCCCCCCCCCCCCCCCCAAACAAAAAACAAAAAAGGTGGAGGCTTCAGAACTTACATAGGGGAACTATACCACTATGACTGACTTTTTAACGGAACAATTAATAACCAGGAATTGTTCTCACTTCAGATTCTAAAGGTGGAATTCTTCGGATCTGGAATGTGTCAAATCCTTTGCCAATTGAGAACATGAAAATTAAAGGCACAGGTTTCCATCGACTAGAAGTCCTCAACCAGCCCATTGAAAGCGTGGACAGTAGTTTGAACACAGCCATGGCAAGTGAAAGCAAGGATAAAAGTCTTAAGCATGTGAGAGAAAAAACCAGTTTATATATTTTCATAAGTTAGTAAGTGTTGATTCCAAAATCACTGTAAATAACACATTAATAAGACCAGATGTCTTATATGGCTGTGAAAAATAAAATACAGCTAAAAGAGACTAAGCCTTATTACAAACTTTTGAGAACAGAGTATTATGATAACTCTTTATTTGACTGTTCTTAGTAATAACTTTGTGATATGCCTTATTATGCTAGCTATTCAATATTCACCACATTTTTTAGATTTTGCCAGAAGCATAGTTTAAAATTAGTCATGATATTTACTTTTTAAAATAAAACAAGATAAAGAAAGAAAACAGTTATTGATTGAAAAATAATTTTAAAATTCTACCTTATTTTGCAGATTTCCTCAACAAGCAAAGCAGAGTCAATGGCATTTATCACACAGTCACATGTCGCACTTCCTCACATTCAAGTTGTGTGTGCTTTCAAAGATGGAGGAATTGGGCTGTATCATATAAGCAGGAGAAAGTGGATATTTCTGAGAAATGAGGTGACGTATCCGGATGCCTAAATATGTAGTTTATTTTCCTTAATTTGGCCTACTGGTATCATCATGTGCCTTGCTGACTGGTGTAGATGATCATGTCTCTCCACAATGCGCGATCTCCAACTGTATTTATCAATATGCTGACACCCTTCCATGCCATGACAAAGGGCTGTCAAGAATCTGCTCACATGGTCTTCCTCTATATCTCTACAAATCTTTCCAGTGGTCATATTTTCGTTTCCTCATCCTCACAACATGGCCAATAATTATAACTGTCTCTTTTTGTTTCTATTAAGTTGTTTTTGGGTCCTTGCTTCTTTCAAAACATCTAGGTTACTCTTTTTTTGGCTCTCTGAGGATTTGAAGAGAAATTCTCATGTTAAACTGTATCTCCGATTGTTTGCCTTATGGCATACAAGTATTTTGGAATCCAGAAGGGAGACCAAGATGATGGTGGAGAGGTAATATAGGGTCCGACCTAGATGGAGAGTGAAGGCCAATCACAGAGATAAATGAAGGTGGGTGATATTTGCAGCAACGAACCTCAAGGGCTCAAAATGCTGAAAAAGAAGAAGAAGCTTATAATTGTTGTTTTTTTTAAACGTTGTATTCAATGCATAGAATAGCAAATTTTGTGACTGTGCCATGGTGTTAAGCAAATTTTGTGACTGTGCCATGGTGTTAAGCAAATTTTGTGACTGTGCCATGGTGTTAAGCAAATTTTGTGACTGTGCCATGGTGTTAAGCAAATTTTGTGACTGTGCCATGGTGTTAAGCAAATTTTGTGACTGTGCCACGGTGTTAAGCAAATTTTGTGACTGTGCCACGGTGTTAAGCAAATTTTGTGACTGTGCCATGGTGTTAAGCAAGTTTTGTGACTGTGCCATGGTGTTAAACAAATTTTGTGACTGTGCCATGTTGTTAAACAAATTTTGCATTTGCAATGTGGCTGCAGTCAGTATCAGTTTGCACAAGCCATCTGCATTCATTCACATACAAAAGCATGCATATGTGCTCAAACACACACTATCTGAGGAAGAAAAGAAGCAACAATAGTAGATTCATAGTTGGCAGCTGAATGAGGACAGAAGGAACAAGCAAAAAAAAAAAGAATGGTGTATAGCAGACTGCTTATATTTCTCATTTTACTGGGGGTTTTTCTGCTCGTTTATTTCTTCGTCTTCATTATCACATGTTCATCTATAACAGTGTCAGTTCATTTAATTGCTTATCCAGGGTCACATAGAAACAATCTTTGATTGTAAGTTCAGCCCTGAAAATCCAGACTATCTGGCAACTTCTAGCTTTGATGGCACTGTGAAAATCTGGGACATAACCACAATGACTTGCGTGAGTAAATTTTCTTTTCCTCCTTCTTCTCTTACTCCTCCTCTTCTTCCTCCTCCTCCTCCTTCTTCTTCTTTTTCTTCTTCTTCTTCTTCTTCTTCTTCTTCTTCTTCTTCTTCTTCTTCTTCTTCTTCTTCTTCTTCTTCTTCTTCTTCTTCTTCTTCCACATTTGCCCTTCAAACATTGGGTTGCAATTTACAGCTAGGCTGCAAAATTTGCACATTTAAACCCACCACATCTCATTTCAGCAAATCCTTGTAAAACATGCTTTCATTTAATGTGGCTTTAAAAGAACAGCTGTTATCCATCAAACTGTAAAGGGATTGGTGTAGTAAACCTAGAAATTTTAATTATGACATTCTTACAATTGTGTTGATGAACCAGTAAAATAGATTCTTTTGCTGAGGTTGTATTGAGTGTGAGTCATCCAGGACACACCATAAGATCACAGGCTAACCTTCTGACCAAGGGCACTAGGCAGATCTCGGCTCGCATTCTCTGTAGATACAAGAGGTGCCTATTTGTAGACATATTGAACCAGTCCAGTCATGCTACCCCCAGCCACAGCTCTACACCTCACTACTACACTGAATTAACTCATTACTGTCCAAGTCAAACAGTGTGTTCCCAACACAGCAAATAGATGATAATAATATAAATGCTTATCACTTTAAAAAACTCATTAGTGCCTCACTCTGTCGTTTACAGATAGTGATCTACAGTTAGCAGATAGTGGTTTACAGATATTGATCTACAGGTAGCATATAGTTGTTTACAGATAGTGATCTACAGGTAGCATATAGTGGTTTACAGATAGTGATCTACAGGTAGCATATAGTTGTTTACAGATAGTGATCTACAGGTTGCATATAGTAGTTTACATATAGTGATCTACAGGTTGCATATAGTAGTTTACAGATAGTGATCTACAGGTAGCATATAGTTGTTTACAGATAGTGATCTACAGGTTGCATATAGTAGTTTACAGATAGTGATCTACAGTTAGCAGATAGTGGTTTACAGATAGTGATCTACGGGTAGCATATAGTTGTTTACAGATAGTGATCTACAGGTTGCATATAGTAGTTTACAGATAGTGATCTACAGGTAGCATATAGTTGTTTACAGATAGTGATCTACAAGTAGCATATAGTAGTTTACAGATAGTGATCTTCAGTTAGCATATAGTTGTTTACAGATAGTGATCTACAGGTAGTATATAGTTGTTTACAGATAGTGATCTACAGGTAGTATATAGTTGTTTACAGATAGTGATCTACAGGTAGTATATAGTTGTTTACAGATAGTGATCTACAGGTAGTATATAGTAGTTTACAGATAGTGATCTGCAGGTAGCATATAGTTGTTTACAGATAGTGATCTACAGTTAGCATATAGTAGTTTACAGATGGTGATCTGCAGGTAGCATATAGTAGTTTACAGATAGTGATCTACAGTTAGCAGAAAGTGGTTTACAGATAGTGATCTACAGGTAGCATATAGTTGTTTACAGATAGTGATCTACAGGTAGCATATAGTTGTTTACAGATAGTGATCTACAGGTAGCATATAGTAGTTTACAGATGGTGATCTACAGTTAGCAGATAGTGGTTTACAGATAGTGATCTACAGGTAGCATATAGTTGTTTACAGATAGTGATCTACAGGTAGCATATAGTAGTTTACAGATAGTGATCTACAGTTAGCAGATAGTGGTTTACAGATAGTGATCTACAGGTAGCATATAGTTGTTTACAGATAGTGATCTACAGGTAGCATATAGTAGTTTACAGATAGTGATCTACAGGTAGCATATAGTTGTTTACAGATAGTGATCTACAGGTAGCATATAGTAGTTTACAGATAGTGATCTACAGGTAGCATATAGTAGTTTACAGATAGTGATCTACAGTTAGCAGATAGTGGTTTTCAGACAGTGATCTACAGGTAGCATATAGTGGTTTTCAGATAGTGATCTACAGGTAGCATATAGTAGTTTACAGATAGTGATCTGCAGGTAGCATATAGTAGTTTACAGATAGTGATCTACAGGCAGCAGTGATTTTCAGACAGTGATCTACAGGTAGCAGTTGTTTTCAGACAGTGATCTACAGGTAGCAGTGGTTTTCAGACAGTGATCTACAGGTAGCAGTGGTTTTCAGACAGTGATCTACAGGTAGCAGTGGTTTTCAGACAGTGATCTACAGGTAGCATATAGTAGTTTACAGATAGCAGCTGGTGGTCCACAAGTAGCAGATAGGGGTCCTTAGATGGCAGACATTGGTTCATATGTTGCAGAGAGTGATCCACATGTCTTAGGTATGAGATTATCATCATTATTCACCCATATCCCAGAGTATAATTTCTTTTTATTTCCTTGCCACTGTTTATGTTTTGTTTGTTGATTTCATTTCATTCTAATAGTTGACATCATCACCGGGCAATGAAGGAGTTATCTATCACATATCCTGGGCCCCAGCCGACCTCAACTGTATTGCTGCCTGTACCGCCAAACAAGGGGCATTTATTTGGGATGTCGGCAAAGGAAAGATAATCAACAGATTTAATCATGTGAGTTTCTCTTGGTTTGACATTGCAAAAAGGAATACTTTCTGTGTGTTAACCACTCATACAGAAACTATAACATGTAAAAGCTACCAGTTACTGGTACTTCAATGCTACTGCATATGCAAACTCTCAACAGGGAAGCAATGAGGGGGGAAATATCAGATGATACATTCTCCAGTGTAATCATTATCTGCTAATGCTTATTCATGTAAACTGATATCATACCTCGCCACAGGCCATGACGTATAAAGTTGATTGAGCAGTTCCTTTCCTCATCAGCATTACCTCCCAGGAAATTCCGCAGCAAAATGTGGCACCCATTGTTATCAGGCTGGGTTGATCTGATTTGAAAAACATTCTGCGACTTCTGGAGATTGAACCCTAAACACGGTCTTGTCAGGAACTGTGGTGGTGTAGCAGCTAGATGCCCCACCTGTCAGCCTGAAGTTCTTGCATTCAAATTTGCATTTTTATGTGTGGATTCCCTGGCTCCATTTCTGAGAACAAAGAATAGACTCACTGCCCCCCCCCCCCCTTTCCATGTTGAAGGAGGTGACTAGTTAAAGTGGTTCTCTTCAGATTTGGAGTGCGTCTGCCTGAGAGGCAAGGAACCAACAGTCTGCATAAACAAATAAACAAAATCTGTAATATGGATGTGCATGAAAAACTCATGTTCTGGGTCAAGACCAAAATCCAGGAGTGGACAAAGAACAAAAACTTTCTGCTGGAGTTGAAAGCCCGTGAATGCTGAGCTGAAGTAGAATTCGCACCACATCTGATTTTCAGTAAATAACCTTGGCTCTTACTCGACCTAACCTAGAACAGGTACTAAGTAAAGTCCCAGAAAGTAAAGGCGGCCATTGTGATGTTGAACACATCAGCCACCGAGGGCCAAATGGTCTCTAAAAATATGAGTCAAGTATCATGTACGATGCTCCGCTAGCGGTAAAAATAGTCCATGGTAGATAAAATTGTACAGTGTAAAAGTGCTAGACCTTCACACAATATAAGCCATACCAAATAAGTTTGAGGTTTGAACAACGGATCAACATCATGGCACACGGGTAGTAACCCATAAGCGCTTCATTCTACTTTTAACTCAAGCCTGAGTCCGAAGTAGCTCAGCGCAGTGCATGGGTTCCGTAGCATCCGCAAGGATCCTAAAATATTTTATGTAGATTTTCAATTCCACATTTTGCCCGGGCAGTGCCGTTAGGTTACTTTTTTAGATTCATGTGTGCAACAATACACATGAGCGTCTGATCTCACTATCCACAGATAAGGGGACATTACTAGAAGTCCATGTGAACAGAACAAATCCCAGCCTTCACCGGGGCTTGAACCCAGGACCTCTAGCACTCGAGGCAGACACTATACCTCGAGACCACGCAGCCCTCTATATAGCATAAGAGTTAGCGTGACTAGTTCCATTCCCCTCAACTTTCCTACACCGACAACACACATGTAGCCAAAATATTTCCTTTTCTGTGAAAAGATGCTGTTGACTAGCCAATCTTCTTTGATGTTCAAATCTTTTATGCTGTCAGTATTTCTTCTCTTCTTTGTTCTTTGAATTCTGAGAATCTTTCTATAGCATTTCATCTCAAAAACCTATATTTTCTTTCTTAAGGACTGTAGGATAGTCCATGACTCACATCCGTTACTACAGGGGTGATGCATACTGTAAAAATTGTTACTTTGATTTCCTTACTGTTGCTTAACCATAGATGTCTTGTATGTGTCGTGATTATGGTGAACTTTAAAAAAAAAAAATTTATTAATTTTTTTTTAACATAAATAAATTATTTGTTCCTTTATTATTTATTACTTGTCCACACTTTTAAAGCATTCCTTGAAGGACAGTGTTTACTGTGTGGCCTGGAACCACATTGATCCTAAACTAATCATGACCTGTGGAGGAGACGGCCTTTGGTAAGTATTTTCTCTATTTCTGGCATCATGCCATTTATTAGGACACCTTACCCCCCATGTGGTTTCCGGGGTCTTTTATGGAAAAAACAGAAATAGACCCACTGCTTCCCCCTAACGTGCATGTCATAAGAGTTGACTAATTGGGGGTTTCCTTCAAAGTCAGTGCATCTGCCTGAGAGGTAAGGAACCAACAGTCTGCATACATATAAGCCAGATCCATAAAAACTGAAGTGCGAGCAACACTCATTTTCTGGAACAAGACTAAAGTCTAGAAGTGGATGAACAACCATAACTTTCTGTTGAAGCTTACAGCCGGTGAGCACAGAGAAGAAGATTTGGATACTTTGGATATCAGAGTGACTAACAACAACTGCCTGGAAATGGTTAATGAAATTAGAAAACTGTATACAGCTATAAGAAAAGGCAGTCAGTGTTCCTCAGTCATTTGATGTGTGCAGAGGCAATGGGGAACATCGTTATGATTGGAAAGATCAGCCGTAGAGGTAGATCAAGAGAGATGATGGTTGAAGGTCTGAAGTGATGGCATGGTGGAATATGATCAGTGGATCTGATTCAAAATACCGGCGACCCAGGATCTGTGAAGAGACATGAGTGCCTACACCACTGCGCAGGGCAGATGACAAGTTTTCCCATCTGTTTCCATTATTGATCTGTCTATGACCTCGAAACATAACAAATTGAGATAACGACGTGAATGGGGATTCCAGTGGAATGATCTCGTCCGTTAGGGAGCATCGTATTCTACGATTTTTGACAGTCTTGTTGCATAGCATGGAGGCGTGTCAGCACATGAACTGATACATGCTGCAGGAGATAGCAGATTGGGGAGAAGCATGCTCGCCCATGCCAGTCTGCAAGGCACCTGATGATGATGATCATGAAAACTAGAATTTGAGCATTTACAGGCAGGTTTCTATTGTGTTAACATGCCTGGGCAGGCTAACCCAGGCATCAGATGCCTGCAGACATGGGATGTGTCAACAGAAAGGCACAAATGTTGCAGCCATGCTGTAAACGACTATAAGGCTTCGTTGGATGAACGCAGAGGAAAAAGTGTTAACATTCCGTGTTCAGTGTTTAGGATGCTAGTCTCTTTGCCTGAAGACATGGCTTCAGACCTTAGTTACATAACCCAACACACATCAGATTGTTTTTGATTAAAGTTACAATCCAGCATCAGATTGTTTTTGATTAAAGTTACAATCCAGAGGATTGACTTCATTGAACTAGGTCTTTTCCTATATGACCCAGTTTCCATTTACAGAAGGGCCAGTTGCTTGCAGAGAGCATTGCACATGGCTTCTTCTTCCTATTCACCTGCTGTAAACTCAGGTGGAAAGTTCTAGTTCTGCGTCCATTTCTGGACTTTTGTCTTGTTCCAGAACTTGAGTTTTGCCTGCACATCCTTTTTCCAGATCTGGCTTATTTGTATGTAGCCTGTTGGTTCCTTGATTCTCAATCATATGCCATCCGACTGAAGGAAACACCTATTTAGTCAACACTTATGACATGTTTGTTTGGGGGCAGTGGGTCTGTTACCCACCCCCAACCCAATAGAGCATGGAACCCATGCAGGAGCATGAAGCATGAACTCTGTAGCTCCAGTGTGATCCCCAGAAATCTCTTTAAAACTGGACTTGTGAACTAAATGATGCTTCCATGAAATGACCCCAGAACATTTAGAACATGAGGCAGATGGGTTGATTCCTTTACCGGGGGACCCCTTGTTTGAGATTGAAAAACAAAATGACATAAATTAATTGTCTCCTGTATTGTTTACAGCATAATTCAGCAAGTTGACGGCAGAATTGTAAAAAAGTACAAACATCCATCCCCTGTATTCGGCTGTGACTGGAGTCCTTTTAATAAGTAACCTTTCACTGTTTTATTTGTTTGAATGGTGTTGTTTTTTTTTTTAACTGAGAAATTATACTTCTGAGTTTAAATAATAAGACACAAGTTTATTGTTAGTGCCTGGCATATTTCACACTGAAGATGACTTGGTCATGTTTGCTGAAAGCTTTGTGATGCTTTTTTTTTCTTGCAAAGACAGCTTTTAACTCTTTGTCCTAAGAAATGCATCATATGTTTATAGGTTCCTACCTAGAAGCCCACTTATTGCATGATGCACCGATTTTATGTCTCTCTTACTACCCCTTGGGCCTGTGATGATAAACCCACTGAGACTCAAAGAGTTAAATGGATGGTGGATGAGAAAAGGAGATGCTCAAAGTCTTTAAAAAACTTAGAGAAAGGCAGTAGAAAGAGAAATGAAGGAATTTAACATATTGGATATCATGTGCAATAAAGCAGCAAAGGAGATCATTTCTTAATGCCTTATACGTCAACAACAATTGGAAGAGGAAAACTATAGGCAGGTAATCCCTGTATCTTGACAGCTGCATATTACAAAATTTGCATCTTAAAACCTCACATAATTGAATTCTTTTGACTTAAAATCACATATCACCATGGGAGTCATAGATTAACTATGTGATCCTTTTGTTTGCATAATCTGGGACTGCCATCAGCATTCCAGCTAGTTCTGTATAACACAGAATATGCTTCTTCTGTCTTTATTGCCTGTATTTACCACAATTTAGGCCAGTGTATGACGGGGGGTTTTGAACCTGGGGATTTAAGGTCACATGGCTAGTGCAGTCACCTCAAACTGTGCAGGTTAGGATTTTATTTTTTCCCGTGACATAAAACTCCATCACCTCACAGAGGATTCTCCCAAATAAGAGCGCAGTGCTCTTAACCACTCAGCCAGCCTGTTATGTGCGTTGTAAATAAATATTTAGAAATGTGAGCCAGGAAGGCAAGAGGTAAACAGTGATTTAGGTGGGAAGATAACATCAAACATGGACCAGCATAAGTTTGGCTGAATGTACAACCAGGGCAAGAGACATAGTTTTGGAGATTTTTTGCAGCAAACTTTCATTGGTTGAGATTTCATATTTTGTTATGAAATAAAGAATTTAAGAAAAAGAGGAGGAAATATCAAACATGTTTACTTTTTTCTTATTTATTTTTTACAATTTAGTTCTTATTTCTCCCCTCCAGAGACATGTTAGCCACTGGTTGTGAAGATAAGATTCTACGAATATTTTATCTTGTGTCCAGCTCGGACCAGCCCATCCGAGTACTTGCAGGTAAGTGTTCTTTGAGAGACTAATCTTCATTCTGTGTCTCAGGTGACCATGATTCTGTTACCTCCTTGTCTTTATGCCTAACGCTGTTGATTTGCACGTCTTTTATTTTTTTCTTTTATAATGTGTAATTTTATATACAGAGCAACGGCTGACGCTGCAAAGCATTTCATGAATAGAGAAAAAAAGAAGGAGCAACGGAGCCTCACCTTGTTTGGCTAAGGATCATCTGTTAAACCATGACACCTAGGGGCACAAAGCAGACACTGACAAAAGAAGAACATAAGAGTCAGTGTTCTTTGGTCATGTGATGAGAAGAGAGAATTGCAGAGCATCAGATATAGATTCTTTATTACTAATCTAGCCACTACATTCTAGACCAGTGGTTCTCAACCTTTGGGTCATGACAGGGGTCGCCAAAGACCATCGGAAAACACATATTCACTGAAGTTATGAAGTAGCAACAAATATAATTGTATGGTTGGGGAGTTGCCGCAAGATGAGGAACTGTATTAAAGGTCATGGCATTAGGAAGATTGAGAGCTACTACTCTAGAAGAATCTTTCCCATTTGGTGATCCACGAAACAAATTTCAGGGGTCCTTGATATAATTTACAAACTAAAAAAAAAAAAACGCAACTTAAGTTTGTGTATTTTTCTTTTTTTAAATTCTAATATTTAGAAATTGTAATAAGTTATTCAGTATAACTGGTTGGAAGTATTGGATCCATGACAGTCCTTCGAAAATAAGAGGGGTTTGTAGGTCTTATGTTAGGAAACAAAACCGCATATAAACTTGTTGATAAAGGGGGCAGAATGTGACCAGGAAGAGAATGCAGTAACATACTATGAGAAGAAAAGGGCCATCCACGTTATTAGAAGTGAACAGAGTCTGGTCAGAAATGACTACCGCTTACTTGATCGGCATGGGCAGGTCATTATCCTACGTCTCACGACAGGACATAACAAACTTAACCAGCATATGCACAGGCTTCGTCTAAGTAGTTTACCTTAAAGCCCTTGTGGGCTATGTGTGCAGACTACAGAACATGTCCTGCAAGAATGTTCCTTGTTCAACCCATTAAGAAGGGAATACTGTCCCAGTGAGTCACCACTGCACGCAAAGTTGTATGGGACAAAAATGGAACTCATAAAAACAGTCAAGTTTATCACAAGAACCTCTCTGTCGGCGTAAATCAGAAGGCGAACACAAGAAGAAGAAGAAGGTCTTATGTTGAATTAAGAATCGACATCACTCGGGAAATTCCCATAAGTGCACCATAGTGTCTTAAACAGCAAGTGCAGAATTCCGATTCCAATGGTACCAGAAACATTCTGATTGTTTTTCCCTCTCACCTTTCTTCTGAGTTGAGCATCGGCCAGATCCCCTGGTCGCTCCTTGCAGCACTATTCTCCTCAGACCGTGATGATCTGTTTGTGCTCCCACACTGTTCACTCACTCCTAAAGAACCCTTAAAGTATCTAGCCTCATTTTACCATCAAGTGGTGCAGAATCAGCTAATCTGTCTGCCTGATAATTTCCCAACACACTGCCTGACCTAAGGAAAATGTCCAAATGACACTAACTACCTGAGACTACCACAGCAGTTTCAAATGTACAGCATGATCTTTCTTCGTAGCATAGGAATGTTCATTTTCTAAACTTTGAAATTAGTTAGTTTGGCAGATTATCCTCATTGCACATTGAACCATTCAGTCAGTAAATGCTCGGATCCCCTCTTCAGTAAATCCTACAGCCTGATGGGACTGACGACACCAGTTTTGTGTTGGTTAATTTTTTCGTTAGCCGCCTGAGTAGTGCTGTTTGGCCATACCCCTTTTAATTTGCTGTACCCTGGTTGCACATTCACAGTCATCATTTGACTGTCACAAAATTCTTACATTTCATAGAACATTCCGTAGGTTGAATGCTCATCTGCCATTCACAGTTTCCTTACTTGCAAGCGTATCAGCTTGCTCATTTCCATTTACATCTACATGCCCTGGCACAAATATGAAACTGATCTGTGTCAGCCGTGATCATCTCAGAGATACCAGTCACTATCTTCGGATCTAGCCCATCTCTGTCTTCCTGAGCATACTTATTGAGTCACTAAGAAAGCATGCCTGAGTGAAGGTCCGTGTCTCCAGCCATGTTATTTCTTTTATCTGAAGCAATGCATCTGATGAGAAACAGCAAAATATGCCAGGCAATAAATTGTCCAGTAAAATGTTTGTGTCAGCATTATTTAAATTCACTACAGGAAAACATTGCTTTGACAATTGTTGAGATGAATGTTATAATTTTTCATTGGTATGTCGCAGGGCATGAAGCTAAAGTGTTTCATATCAGGTGGAATCCTCTCAAGGAAGGAATTCTATGTAGTGGCTCTGATGATGGGTATGTTTTTCTCTTCTCTCTCTCTCTCTCACCCCCCCCCCCCCCCCACTCTCCTCCCCCCACACTTTCTATCTCTCATTTTATTTTATTTTTAGCTTGAAGAAACTCAACTTATGTGTGTTACTCCTTATGTTGAATTCCTGTCTTATCTTTTTGTGTCCCATTCTTCTGTTACTTTAACCCATTTCACTCCAATTATTACTTTCACTTCTTCTGTCATATAACTTTTCTTTTAACCCATAAAGATGTAGGGATAGAACTTTCTCACTCAACTCTTACGCAAACCCATTATGTTAAATTTATTTATACTTATTTTATATATATATATATATATATATATATATATATTACTGGGGGCCACATGGCTTTGGCGGCTAGACGCCCACCTGCAGATCGGAAGGTCATGGGTTTGTGTCCTAATGGAGCAAGACGTTTTCAAAAATGACCTTGACTCCCAGGTCGACCCAGCCTTGAGTGGGTACCAGGTGTCGTCCTAGGAAGTAAAGGCAGCCGGCGTGATGCTGACCATATCACCCACCAAGTGCTTATTGATCTGTAAAAATTTAGGTCTAGCCTTATACTCCAATACACCTAAAGGCATGGAAAAGGGACCTCTCTCTATATATGTGTATATATATATATATATATATATATATATATATATATATATATATATATATATATATATATATATATATATATATTACTATATATAATTGCCCGGCTTCACCTGGAATAGTGAAAGAAAGTTTCATTTACCCCTCGTCTAGCTCATCTTTGTCTTATATGGTTTCTGGGGAGGTAACAGTGAAATATAATATTTAAGAATTAAATTTTTAAGCTATGTAAGAGAAACAATTCAAAGGGATATAACTCCCGCAAAATGTTATTTTTACTGATTGTTGTAATAAATAAAATAACTGCAGAATAACCTGGCTGTTAATGTAACTGTTCAGTTAAACTTTGTTGCCATAACGGCAACTGAAAATTTAACCTACTTATTTGTTCACGGTTTTGGAGCAGTTAATAGTTCATTTAAAATGAACACACAAAATACAGAAAAGGTTTGTGATTGATAGTTATACATTATTGTTGGCATCTTTACATCTTTCCAGGCAATAATGTTACACTGTTCTATAGAAAGATGTGGGAATCACAGCCCATGGCAATAGCCAATGTGACTTGCAAGACCCACCTGCATTAAAAAAAGTCTTCCATAATTAGAGCATAGCATTTCAGGACTGTTGTTGCCGTCACATGTATTTAGTTTGCTTCTCTTGAGACCCTCAGCTGTTGTGTCTGTGATCATTTTTTTTTTCTGTATTCCCATTCCTTTCCTGACCCCCCACCCCCCCACACCCCCCCCCACCCCCGCACCCCTTTTCCACTGAACAAGGTCCATGTAATTTTGTTCCTACGAATCTAAGTCAGTACCTGTATCATTCATATGCCCATTGCACACATCTTTATATCATAGTAGAGGCCAACCTAAATATCTAACCATCTGTAACTAGCCATAGAGGATGTTTTTAAGGACTCTGTCATCCTCCATTCTCCAAGTGTGTCCTAGCCACCTGAGTCTTCGGAGACTGAGAATTGAGAAAAACCGTTAATCTGCTCACAGTTGTTGCTGCCTAAGCTGATACTGATTTCTTGATATTATTATAGTTCTGTCATATAGCTTTTATTTTAAATCATTGAGACTCAAGAGTTTTTAGTTTAAAGTAAACATTCTCTGGGATAGAACAAGCACAAGTAAAACTGCTTGGGGCTGACAGGTTAAACAGTCACTCATTGAATCAGGGGCCATCTCCACAACAAAAGTTGGCTGCAATGGATCACCAACAAGCTTATTATTCGCCATAGATGCACACTCTCTTAGACTGCTGTTTGTCCAACTCTTATATTAACCTCCCACTTTTATTGCCACCTGCCTTCAGCTGCCCCTCCCCCTTGGCTTTTAAAGTCCCTTAATATGTTCAAAATATTTTACTTGTCTCATTTTTATTTCTGTCAGTGACTCTCTTTTCATTCCTAGTCTTCCCAGAACCTAGTATTTGACTGAAAGGGTTAAGTAAATGGGCAACTAATAATAATTTAAATAATAGTTTTTGAAAAAAATGTTTAAAGAATGTATGCTTACTGTGAACATAGACATGTTATGAAAAAACATCTCTGCTGAGACCCAAATTGTGTTTATGTTAACTGAGTTTTCATCTTATATGAGTTGATGTTAATGAGATTTTACGAAAATATAAACAAAACTAGCTTTATCAAAATATCAGATGACAGAGAGGGTTAAAGAGTCATGATTGCTGAGGTCTGCTCCTGGCCAGGAACCTGAAGAATAAATGCCTACTATTTTGGTTTCACTGTTCTTAATGCAAAATATTGTAGTGCAGTCAGTCAGTTTATGGCAAGGGCATTTTTTTGAAGTTATGAGGTTTCTGTCCCTTGATATTATGCATGCCATATTGTATTTGCCTTTCACAGAAATATAAGAGTGTGGGACTATACAAAAGACCAGTGCGTGTGTGTGTTATCTGGCCACAAAAATCGTGTGCGAGGGCTGAATTGGAACTCGGAGATTGCCAATTTTCTAGCATCAGGCAGTTGGGATTTCACGATCAGAATCTGGGACACTCAGGATGGAGCCTGTTTATGCTGTCTGCTGGACCATGGTGCCGATGTTTATGGTGAGATTTTGAGCATCGCATCTTTTTTAAAAATATTTTGTGTGTGTGTGTGTGTGTGCACGCGCATGCGATGCCTGCGTGCGTGCGTGCGTGCGTGCGTATAAATTAATTACAATTTTACCAAGTCAGATCTGATAAAAGTTTTTAATTTGGGAAAGGGGGTGGGGGGTCAACATTTTTCTACCAGTGTCAAACTTAGACCCTTACTAAAATAACACAAAATCATGACAACAGAGATGGGATGTTTTAGAAGAGAACAAGAAAAGGTACAATTAAAAATGAAGAAATCAGTGGCAGACTAGTCCTGAAACTGTTCACACGTTATTAAAGAGGAACACATGTGAAGGTTTGGCCATCTGACAACAGTTCCCTGATACTAGCTGCCACAGAGACCCACCCTTTGGACACAAAACTAGGGGAGCAGCTGCACACTATTGCTGCCATCATCATCAAATTCATTCTCACTAGGTGGCCGAACCTTTTCAGTCTTTGTTTCTCAATGAATTTAATAGTGGGTATTGTTTCAGTACTCTAATGTCTCTTTTTTCTAATGATCTTCTCTGGTTTTGTTCCAGTACTCTAATGTCTCTTTTTTCTAATGATCTTCTCTGGTTTTGTTCCAGTACTCTAATGTCTCTTTTTTCTAATGATCTTCTCTGGTTTTGTTCCAGTACTCTAATGTCTCTTTTTTCTAATGATCTTCTCTGGTTTTGTTCCAGTACTCTAATGTCTCTTTTTTCTAATGATCTTCTCTGGTTTTGTTTGCAGACTTTCTAAAACGTTTCATTTCACAGGTGGCTTTTCCTGTTCTGTGGCCCCATTGGGAGATGAGGGTGGAAAGGGGGGGGGGGGGGGGGAGTGGTATAGATCCACTGCTCCTCTAAAAGGTTATGTCATAAAAGGTGAGCAATTGAGGATTTACCAGAGTCAAATGTGTTTGGCAAAAAAAAAGCACAGATATCATAGCCTAGCTGTAAAACCAATACAACCTACCAACCAACCTAATAAGGTTAATTGCCAAAGAAGAACAAGGATAGATTGTTAGTTGTAAAATTATATAACTATCTTCTCTTGTCGAGACATAACGGTTGTGAATCATGGACACTCTCACAATTATTAATGAAGAAAATAGGGACTTTTGAACTGAAATGCTATAGAAAGATTCTCAGAATACCATGGACAAAGAAGAGAAGAAATACTGACATTTTAAAAGATCTGAACATCATGGAAGATTGGCTGATAAACAACATCTTGTCTCGGAAAGTGAAATATTTTGGCCATATCAAGTGCCACAGGGAATTTGCAAGAATAAAAGCAGGAGCCATGGTACCAGGAAAGAGGGGCAGGGGCTGACCAAAACAAAGATGAGCCCAGGATAAAAGTGACACCTTAGGTAGGAAAGAGCACAAGGCGTGAGTGCTGACAAGAGACCAAATTTCTTTTAGGCATGATGTTTGCGACGTTCTGCAAAGGACCTGCTACATAATGGCATATCTACTTTCATTTAGTTTTCTGTATTAATAATATACATTTTTAAATGAAATTTATCATTATATTATTTGTTAAGTTTGTCTTGAACTAAATTTACAGGCTTGACATCTCATCCATCTCGCCCATTCTTGCTGGCATCATCGTCTCGGGACACTACTGTTCGTCTGTGGTCAGTATCTTCATTAGCGCAGAGCATAGAACTGAGTTTGTTAGCAGGCAAGCCATGCCAGGAAATTATTGGAGGTAGAAGCTCAATCAATTTTGTTTAAGTCTGTTTAACTTTTGCTTTAATTATACCTTGGCATCTTTGCTTCTTTCTAGATGATAATGAAGCATGGAAATCACAGCCCATAACAATTGTGAGTGTGGCTAGCAAGGCATCTTGAAGAGTTAAAGTTAGGGGTGAATCTCTCCCTCCCTTCCCCTCATTCTCACTTTCTCACTCTCTCTCACTCTGTCTCTCTCTCTCTCTCTCTCTCTATCTTTTTCTCACTTACTATCTCACTCACTCTCTCACCCACTCTTTCTCTCTCACTTTCTCCCACTCACTCTCTCTCTCTCACTCACTCTCTCTCCTTCACTGTCTCCCTGACTCTCTCTCCCTGACCCTCTCACTCTCTCTCCCTCTCTCTCACTCTCTCTCTCACTTTCTCTCTCTCTCACACTCTCTTTCCATCCCCCCCCCCCCCTCTCTCCTGCGTGCGCCTGTTATCTACCAGGCCGTGGCATGAGTCACCTGATATATGTGTTTTTCAGGCCCGGAAGAATTAATCCCCTTAAATACTTCACGCTGTTCAAATTTATTGATTACTCCCTTTATATTTCTTTATATATTTCCAAAAAATAAAATGAAAAATGTAGATAAATAATTTTTTTTAATGAATTTATTAGTGACCTGTTTAAAATTGTTTATTTTCTGATTTTATTTTAATGGAACTCCAATGGGGTCACTACCCACTTTTTTTTTTTTAAACGTTACAGGCATGAAAGGGTTAACCCATCTGTTCCAAAAAGCTGCGTTTAAAAACAAGAAATACCTGCTTGTAAGGGAGTTTAACTGAGATGGTATGGGATAGAAATAGTTAAAATAATTTTTCAGATACAAATGGTTAATACAGCTTCTGTATGTGATAAAAGACAGCAAGAACATCAAATTACAGTTGGAATGACCAGAAACATATCATGAGTTGTTTGGTACCAGATGAATTGCATAGGTGACAGAACAGAAAGCAACTCACACATTGATAGTGACAGACTCAGTGAGCATGCTTAAGAAAATCCAAACTGGCAGAGTCTGACTAGAATGGGTTGACAGCATTCGGAAGTCCTACCTGATGAAACTGTCTTGGCTGTACACACTGGGATACACCGGGGTGAAAGGAAAGGAAAGAGCTGACAGATTGGCCAGTGGTTGGCGGAGGAAGAAGTATGGACAGGACAGACATACTGAATGTGCTGCGTTCAAGAGACATTGAGACAAATAAGTCAGAGAATGTGAACCGCTTGTTGGAAATGGCTGTTAAACCAGGAAAAGCATGTAGAAACTGGTGCAAGGTAAAACAAAGAAGATATGTCAATCAACTCATACTGAAATAAGTGAAATAACTCCTACTGGGTACGTTGAGCATGAAGACACTGACTGCTGAATCAGAGAATGGAGCACAAATGGGTCGTACCAATGTGCTAGGATGTTGACATGGACAACAAATAACAAGCATATGTTGAACCACATACGTGGGTCTCTGCAGTGAAGTGGTTAAGCTGTTTGCTTTTTGTTCTGAAGGCTGGGTGTTTGTTTCATGGTCTTTGTCATTTGGCTAATGAGTGCAGTTTGTATGGTGATCCCTGGTGATTGTCACTAGAGCTATGGAGTGATTGCTTAGTGCAATGCTCTCGGCAGATGGCTGGCCGGCCATTCTGCAGAGAGAGACTGAGCCATATACAATAAAACCTGGTGCAGTGAAGTCAATCTTCTTGGCTTTAACCCTTTCACCTGCAGATGCTAAGAAAAACTGGATCATGAAACCATGGATATTCCTGGAAAAATTCTTTAAAAGAAAAAAAACTATATTACATATTCAGTAATAAATTTTAGAAAAAAATTTATTTATCTACATTTATTAAAAAAATTGGAAATTTATAGATATATAAAGAGGTAATCAGTAGACACAAACAGAGTGAAACATTAAATGGAATACATTCGCAAGGGCTTTAAATAAAATATTAGAATTTAAAAATCTGTTGGTGGAATCATGCTGTCACCTGTAACCTCTATCATCGAGAGTTATAAGGAAATTTGATATCATCCTGGCTTTAAAAAAGCTATTGGGGTCATAAGGAAAGCGTATGTGTATTGTTGTGTGCGTTAAAAAATCCCTTGGCAGTTAGAAATCAAAAAGAGTAACCTAACGGCGCTGCCCTGGCAAAATTTGGAGTTCAAGATCTACCCAAAGTATTTCAGGATCCTCGCGGGTGCTATGGAGTTCGTGCACTGCCCTGAGATTCTTCGGACTCAGGTTTAAGTCAGAAGTAAAACTGAGCACCTATGGGTTACTACCCTTGCGCCATGATGTTGATCCATTGCCTAAACCTAAACATAAGGAAAGCCCTCTACATTTTGTTTAATTGCTATATTCATATCCTGGCATTTCAAACACTGCACAGGTGTATATAAAACCAATGGAGGTTGTGATTTATCAGCATTTATGGGACTGTGTCACAACCAGAAGTGATTAGATTTAGTCTTCTTGGGTCGACAGGGTTAAACAGTCAACCTTGTCGACCTCATGATGTGAAAAGAACACTGTAATTTACTTTTACTTACTATAACTATACAGAGAATTTACTAGTATTTGTACTTATTACAGTCAGCTAATTTGTTCCTAAACATTTCTTTTCTTTTCAAAGAACCAGCAGTTTGTGGACTGTCGTCGCCAGTCCTGGCAGGACATAGGTCAAGGACTCTTTTTCGAGACCTCACTTCAAAGACTGGTGACCAAACTGCCATGTGGGGCAGAATCTCCAAGTTTTTTGCGGTAAAATCATAACTTGTTTTCTTTGTTTTGTTCCAGATTTTAGCTGACACATATGGCTGTAAAGTAAATTTATGGTACACTTGTTTGTTCCAGTAGAAGTCGAGATACAATGTCCTGTGCTGTCTTACTGATCTGTACACCCATCCCCTTGTGGGATGCAATTTTTCTTTATTTTGAAGCCCCTCCTTGGCTCTTGCCAGGGGCCGCAATATAGCCCACAATAAATTTGGCCCAATGGCTGAACAGGGTTTCCGGGACCTCTGCACAGGTGATCCTCATCCGCATAGTGGTTTATGTCATCAGTGTTTATCACTTGTGTATGTCTGTCCAGGTGGGGTGAAAGTACTACTACTACTACTTACTGATCTGAGTTTGGTTTATTAAACAGTACCAGTTGTATGTGGGTGTCTGTATCTGTGAGTGTACGCATTGTATGTGTAATTATGTCATGATGTGGTAAGATTGTGAGATACCACTACATCCATGGGTAGAAGATGAAAAGTTTCACTATGGTGAATGGCAGAAAGGATAGGACTGAACAAAATTAATTTTTAACTGTCAGTTCAACAAATAATTCATGACACTTCTCATCTGAGGTGATGTGATTATCTATACAGATGGCTGTGTGCTGAAAGGCAGAGGAAGTACATGGTGGTTCAATGCAAAAGTGAATGGACATATCGTAGAGTAAGCCTGGCATATGAAACCACAACATCTGTTCTGAGAATGAATGTGGAGGCAGTCGCTGAAACCTGCCACTGGCTTGAGAACCAGCTGTACATACATGTCATAATTATAACTGATTTGCAGGGTATGTTGAGAAAGATAAAGATAGGTATGCTATGTGCAGAGTAGCAAGCATAACTTCAGAAGTCCCATTAGTTAGTATCCTTAGGATATTTTCTCCAGGCTATGCCAGTATGTTGGGAAATGAACAGGCAGATAAACTGGCTGGTTCTGTGCCGCTTGGTAGTAAATGATGTATGATAAGTTAGGTATTGTGAGGGTTCTTTGAGAGTGATTAAACAGTGTGGAGGCCCAAACAGATCATCACCGTCTAAGGAGAATGAGGCCTCAAGGAGTGAAAAGCGGATCTGGCTGATGTTCATCACTCACGGGAAAGGCAAGATCAGTATACACTCAGACTGCTAATTGTGACGCCAGAATTTGAACTTTGCTCTTGCTACTGAAGATTTGGATGCAGCCCTTATAGAAATTTCCCAAGTGCAGTGATGTCGATTCTTATTTCAACACTCAACTTTCAATTATTTCTACACTCAAGGCTAGGAGAGGAAAGAATAAGGTACCTCTACATCCTAGGTTTGGTACATCTACATCCTAAGTTAGGTACCTCTACATCCTAGAGTACATACTTCTACATCCGATGTTACAAACAACAGACTAAACAAGACTATTAGGTGCCTTTATATTCAAGCATCGAGGAAGAAAATCTAAACAAGACTAAGATACTTTTATATGCCTTTAGTAAAAGACAGACTAAATAATTTGTGTATGGTACTTTAAAGGTAGAAGAGTGACTAGACAGGATTAAGATACCTCCATAAATAAGGGTTCAAGAGAAAAGACTAAGACTTTAGGGTACCTCTGTATCCTGCGGTAGAAGATGAAAAACTCTTAAGTGCCTCTATCCTCAAGAATGAATGAAAAAAGACTACAAGATCAAAAAGTATCTCTTTCCCAGGATAAGTGGAAAAAAATTAAACAAGACTATAATAGGCCTCTTTCTTTTTCACATTATTTATCAAATCATGTGTTTTTCCTCCTTATCCTTAATGCTCTCCTCAATTTAGCATCCACAATGTGTTTTTCCACTTAGCATCTTTAATTTTCTCTTCTATCTGGCATCCATAATATACTCTTCCACCTAGCACACATAATGAATTCTTCCACCTAGCACACACAATGTACTCTTCCACCTAGCACACATAATGTACTCTTCCAGCTAGCACACATAATATACTCTTCCACCTAGCACACATAATGTACTCTTCCACCTAGCACACATAATATACTCTTCCACCTAGCACACACAATGTACTCTTCCACCTAGCACACATAACATACTCTTCCACCTAGCACACATAATGTACTCTTCCACCTAGCACACATATTGTACTCTTCCACCTAGCACACATAATATACTCTTCCACCTAGCACACATAATGTACTCTTCCACCTAGCACACATAATGTACTCTTCCACCTAGCACACATAATGTACTCTTCCACCTAGCAAACATAATGTACTCTTCCACCTAGCACCCATAATGTACTCTTCCACCTAGCACACATAATATACTCTTCCACCTAGCACCCATAATGTACTCTTCCACCTAGCATCCATAATGTACTCTTCCACCTAGCACACATAATATACTCTTCCACCTAGCATCCATAATGTACTCTTCCACCTAGCATCCATAATGTACTATTCCAACTAGCATCCATAATGTACTCTTTCACCTAGCAAACATAATGTACTCTTCCACCTAGCACACATAATGTACTCTTCCACCTAGGACACATAATGTACTCTTCCACCTAGCACACATAATGTACTCTTCCACCTAGCACACATAATTTACTCTTCCACCTAGCACACATAATGTACTCTTCCACCTAGCACACACAATTTACTCTTCCACCTAGCACACATAATGTACTCTTCCACCTAGCACACATAATGTACTCTTCCACCTGGCATCTATACTGTATTCTTTCACCAACCATCTATAATGTACTCTTCCACCTAGCATCCAAAATGTACTTTACTCTTCGTCTTAGCATGCCAGTGGAGTCACCAACCTATGGGATCTTGTCTACATCATTCAGGGAAAGGACACCCTGCTGTCCACATCATATGCCAAGGGCATAGTGCACAGAAAGCATGTCACCATATTTAAAGGGGTAAGTATCATGATTATCATGTGCCAAGGGCATAGTGCCCAGAAAACATATCACCATATTTAAAGGGGTAAGTATTATCATATGCCAAGGGCATAGTGCACAGAAAGCATCTCACCATATTTAAAGGGGTAAGTATCATCATTATCGTGTGCCATGGGCATAGTGCACAGAAAGCATATCACCATATTTAAAGGGGTAAGTATCATGATTATCATGTGCCAAGGGCATAGTGCACAGAAAACATGTCACCATATTTAAAGGGGTAAGTATCATCATTATCATGTGCCAAGGGCATAGTGCACAGAAAGCATGTCACCATATTTAAAGGGGTAAGTATCATCATTATCATATGCCAAGGACATAGAGCACAGAAAACATGTCACCATATTTAAAGGGGAAAGTATCATCATTATCATGTGCCAAGGGCATAGTGCACAGAAAGCATATCACCATATTTAAAGGGGTAAGTATCTTCATTATCATGTGCCAAGGGCATAGTGCACAGAAAGCATATCACCATATTTTAAGGGGTAAGTATTATGGTTATCATATGCCAAGGGCATAGTGCACAGAAAGCATGTTACCATGTTTAAAGGGTAAATATCATCATTATCATGTGCCAATGGCATAGTGCACAGAAAGCATGTCACCATATTTAACTTTTTGAGTCCCGAGGAACGCATCATACATTCATAGGTTTCTACTTAGAAGCCCAATGAACGCATGATGCGCCGATTTTATGACTCTCTTTACTACTCCCTGGGCCTGTGATGCTAAACTCCCTGGGACTCAAAGAGTTAAAGGGATAAGTATCATCATTATCATGTGCCAAGGCCATAGTGCACAGAAAGCAATTCACCATATTTGAAGGGGTAAGTATCATCATTATCATGTGCCAAGGGCATAGTGCCCAGAAAGTATGTCACCATATTTAAAGGGGTAAGTATCAACATTATCATATGCCAAGGGCATAGTGCACAGAAAGCAATTCACCATATTTGAAGGGGTAAGTATCATGATTATCATGTGCCAAGGGCATAGTGCACAGAAAACATGTCACCATGTTTAAAGGGGTAAGTGTCATCATTGTCATGTGCCATGGGCATAGTGCACAGAGAGCATATCACCATATTTAAAGGGGTAATTATCATCATTATCATGTGCCATGCCCATAAGCGGAGGTGGTTTGGGTTCGCCATCCCACATGATACTGAGAATCACCAATCAGGTCTGGGTATCATTTTTGTCTTTCCTTAGAGGGCAGAATGCTTCTGTCTGAGAGGTAAAGAACCAACAGTCTGCATACAAATAAGACAGATCTGTAAGCGGACACAAAACTTAAGTTCTGTAACAAGACCAAAGTCTGGATGTAGACATACTACCATAACTTTTTTTCTTATCTAATGAAATAAGTGGGTTACTGTGAATCAGCCAGATGGCCTGCATGGATGCAGCCTCTCCACCATGCAAAAGCACAAAAGGCCAACCACCTGTTTGCCTTAACCCCTTCTCTGCTACTTACTCCGCCAGTGAACGTTACCACTGTGCTAAGCAAGTTCCCAACTGAACTTTCCCCCTGTGCTGAACACTTTTCTATCCTCCAAATGCAAAAGATAGGTCAGCTGTGAGGGCTCTGTTTTGTACATCCGAACATATTTACCCCGGGTAAGTGGGTGATGGCCCGAGTACTGACAAATCAGACGGACTATGGTGACACCAAGAAACACATTTACAGAAAGGAAACACTAAAAACTAGACTTATTTGCCTGGCTTCACTCGAGAAACACAGGGAACACAATAGAAGCCTTCCAATCATCAGCAGGAACATTCTTTGAATGTTTCAACCGCTTCACATTCCTTGCAGGTGGATATTGCAGGACAGTTTTTATTCTTCCAACTTCTATTTCATAGTCGTCTCAACCGTTGCCATATGTTTAGTCATTGTCGCGAGTGCATCTGAGGCTCTTACTGTCCTCTGGCCCATTCCACTGGCCTACAAACTTGACCGACAAACCTACGGAAGGGGAGTGTTTTGGAAGATCTGGTCTAGGAGAATCCTAGCATTTCACCCCAAGCCATGACTCGTGAATGACAATTCGCACTGATTACAATTCTCCACCCCCTTTTCCCCAATCTTATTGATAAATGTATTTCTTTAGTCATAATTAATTGTATTCTCCATGCTATTCCTTTTTTTTTTTTTAAGTAAATAATTTATACATTGGTGATGTGTTTGCCGAAATTGCTTAAATTTAAAATTTAGATTTGAGAACCAAAAAGTCATGTAAGGTTGAACGCAGGACCTTTCAATTGTGAGGCAGACGTGATACTAACTAGACCACTAGAAATTCATATGAAAATAAGAACAGAAAAATTTATGTTGTATAGTATACAAGAAACATTATTTTTAATCATCATGTCAATACGTGACCATATCTTCTTCTTGATCATTGGGGGTCCATTTTAATCCAGTTGATGTAGATGGCTGGGTCAGATGATCAGTCTTGCTCACAACCAGAAGTACACAAGTCTGCCGGCGTGGCATGAAGATAACCTAACTCGTAACTCACATATTTCAAAACGATCCTTACTATTACTCCTTGAAAGAAACTCCATTACCTGTTAATTAACTTTACAAATTTTCTTGCTATTTTGTATTTTTTTTTTTAAATAGACAAACGCAAAACCATAAATATATTTTAGGGAAAAAAATACATCATTCACCGAACACGCTTCTGTGGTAACAAAGCAACAGTATAACGTGGAACGCATCTAAATACACCGAAACGCATGTGATAAGGGTTTTAATTGTATGTAAATGGCTCAGTTTGGTCAGATTTAGGTAATGTGTATTGCCTTTTAAGCCCCGAGAATTACGGTTCTTAGCTATCTGTTAGAAAAGTCAAAGACGTATTAATACGTCCTTAGCAGTGAGGGCACAGAAAACTGAAGACCTATTAATCTGTCTTTAGCAGTCTATGGGGCAGACGTATATATATTTCCATTGTAGCGAGAGGGTTGAACAATTGCAAGTTACAACCTAGAGAAAACCGGACGGATCTCAATGGCGACAAACTGGAATGGCTTATGGACTGCGATTTACAGAACATGGAACATATAAGGCATGAACGAGAAGGAGAACAAGACAATAGGGGAGTTGAGAAAAGCAAAATTAGGAATCTTGGCTCTGACTGAAACCAAGAAAAAGAGGCATGGTAATCACAGATCACGATTGAAGTATGCTGCTCTACAGTGATGTCCCTATGACCCTATGATGGAAAGAGCCAAAGGTGGTGTTGGCTGTATTGAGGCCAGGAATTAAGTTAGTAAGGTCAAGTGTTGGAAATTCCTCTAGGAGCTCATTATGGTGCTGGTCTTTTCAATCTGTATGTGGTCTTTCCCTTGCCCTGTGTTTCTTGTATTTCTTCAGCTTGCTGTCTGATGTAGTTGATACCAAGGTATTTCACCAAACAGTCTATCTGTTGCTCTTTACTTAATTGTATGACTGGTTTCAGTCAGAATTTACTTCTCTGTTTATGCACATTTTTCTCTCTCTCTATCAGTCTGAAGCACAGCAGCTGGAGATGATCAAAATGTCCAAGTTTGGTGCTGGAGTTGGAGCGCCGAGCCGAGAAGATCGCCTCACCGAAGCAGCAAACATACACATCAAATTGGGCAATGTCCAGCGTTATTGTGAACTCATGGTTGAATTAGGGAAGGTCAGGTATTTAGTTCTCTCTAAATCTTTTAGTTCATTCAAATAATTCTGGAAAATGTATAATTCTGAAAAATATGCACTTTTCTTTTAGATGTTAGGTTCAGATTTCCACCTTTATTAACCTATTTATTAACCTGTATTATTTACCTTATTAACCTTATTAGTCTTTTTATTTACCTGTTTAACCTGTATATTAACCTGTTTAACCTACTTTTTCCCTGTTCAACTTGTTTATAAACATGTCCTTCTTGCAGGCATTAGGTTGGAGTCTGTTTTGACACTGAAAAGCCTTCAGCTCCCAGAGGTTATTTGTTTGTTTGCTCACTCTGAGAGAGGTAAACTCTTTTCAGGATTTAAAAAAAAAAAAGCATTTCATCTAATTTCAGAGTTAAAATTTGTCTTCAAAAAGATTAACCAACCTGGCATGTTTAATTGTAAATTAGAGTCTCATTGTATTACTTCTAAGTCTATTAAAAACTCAGTCTGTGAAAGGATCGCCAACTTGCCATGTTTAGGATGCTTCTTCTTTATGTTCATCTGCTGTAAACTCTGACAAAAACTTCTGGTTGTCCCAGAATGTGAATTGTGCATGCACTTCCATTTTACAAGTCTGGCTTCTTTGTATGCAGACTATTGGTTTCTCATCTCCCAGGCAGGTGCACTCCAACTTCAACAGAAACAGCCCAAATTAGTCAACTTTTATGAGATGCTTGTTTGGGTGGCAGTGGGTCTATTCGTTTTTGTTTTCTTTTCCCCAAAAAATTTGACACACGAACCTACATTGGGAATGTTAAGGTTAAACGTGAGGTCTCATAGTTTTATTTCTACATATATTTAACTTCAGCTGAGACGTGTTTTTTTTTGTTTTGTTTTTTGTTGTTGAGTAGAATGCAGAGAATATCATGGAACGATAGAAAAACAACACAAGCCAGTCCTCATGAAGTCATGTGATCCCATCAACTGGTTAGAGAAATTAGACATGGACAGTCAGTGTTTTTTGGACATATGAGAAGATTGGACTCAAGAACTTAGTAACACCTGGCAGGGTTGATGGAAATAGAACAAAGTGAGGGAGGGCAAAGAGTTAAATACCTGGACCTGATTGGCATGGGAAATGGGATGGGACAAACAACACTGGCCTGATCTGTTGTTCTGGTGATTGTGTGAGATGTCTTGAGGTATGTTGTATTTTTTTTTTTTGTACATCATCTGATGTTTCTTGAGATGGTATTGTATTTTATTAGTACATTATCTAATGTTTCACTGTCATCTGCTGCTGTTGTTTTTGATGTGAATGCTGTGAAATCTTCTGAGACTGCTAATTTAAACATATCAACTTGCCGAAGTTGAAGTTTTTTTTTTTTTTTAAACTTTCAAGTATCTGCTTTTTTTTACTTTCTTTGAGAATTTAAACATGTTTTTTTTTTTTCTTAGTTAAAACATCAGCTTCCATAAGTGTTCAAAGATAACTTCCTTAAGAGCTAAGACATCAATTTCCTAATTAGTTAAAACAACAATTTTCTTAAGAGTTAAATCATCAACTTTCTGAAAACATGAAGCAAAATAATTTTTTTGTTTTTTTACAGAAGTCATTCTAAACTAATTTCATTTTAATTTATCCTGACCTATTCTGCCTTAATTCTGGCATGTATTAGTGAAATAATAGCTATTGATGTTTGCATTTTGTTGCAGTGGGAGAGAGCACTTGCACTGGCGCCCTCAGTGTCTTTGAAATATTGGCAGCAGCTGAATCAGAGGTAAACAAAGACAGAAGAGTGTGACAATCATGTTATTCATTGCTGTCTTTCCTCATGTGGGTTCTAGGACCCCATTTCTGGGAGAAAAAGAAAAGACCCACCCCCCCCCCCCCCAAACAAGAGTTGCCCCCCCCCCCTAACAAGAGTGTCATAAATGTTGACTAATTAGGGGGGCTTCCTTCTAAATCAGAGTGCCTGAGAGGCAAGGAACCAAAAGCCCTGCAGACAGTTAAGCCAGACCTGTAAAATAGATTTGCATGCAAAGCTCAAATTCTGGAACAAGACCAAAGTCCAAAAGTGGACGCAAAACCAGAAGGTTGTGCTGGAGTTTTACAGCTGTTGAAAACAAAGAAGAGGAAGGAAATTGCCATCTTTATTCTGCCAGTTTCTGCCTGTAATTACCACTTTTGCAGTGTAGGCAGAGAGCTTGAGCCTAAGGATTTAGTTCCCGCATGGCTAGTGCTTTCCCCACAGTCTATGCCCATTGGGACTTTATTTTTGTAATCTTTCTGCCTAAGTTTATGGCTGATGAACACAAAGAAGAAGAAGAAAATTGCCATCTTTATTCTTCCAGTTTCTGCCTGTAAATACCACTTATGCAGTGTAGGCAGAGGATCTTGAGCCTAAGGATATAGTTCCTGCATGGCTAGTGCTTTTGCCACGGTCTATGCCAGTTAGGACTTTATTGTGTTACGAGACAGGAAAAAATCTATAACCTTACTGAGAATCTGAACCTGGATCTCTTGCATGGAGGCCCAGTGTTCTTAACTATTTGCTTCTCTGTTCACTTGAAAGGAACTTATACTTGCAGTTTTGCTTTTTTGCAGAAACTTCTTAAAAAAGGACCCTTTTCCACACCTTCAATCATATTGAGCATATAAGGCTAAACCTATATTTTATATACCAGTTGGCACTCGGTAGGTGATGTGGTCAACATCACTGCACCCGCCTTTACTTCCCAAACATTACCTGGCACCCATTTAAGGCTAGGTCGACCTGGAAGCCAAAACTTCATTGTCTTCTGTAATTCTTGCAAGCTGCTGTAGAGCCTAACATCTAGGTTTATTTCATCTGGTCAAAGAATAGAACTTTCTGGGATGTATTTAGTATAGTGTTATGTTCTGCAGCTGTATGACCATATCTATACTTTGCTAGATAACCTTTTGTTCTGTGTACATCTGGCTTTTGAGTTTGTTATGTTTTGTTCTGTGTCCATAGATAAGTTTTCCTGTCCAATAGACCATCCAGTCAGATATTGTCTTATCCACTCTTGTTTTGTTCTGTATTGTCTGATCCATATAATCTATATTGTTCTGCACCACTTGGTGCTGAATTGATATATGACAAGCTAGATGTTGTATGAGCCCTTTGGGAGCGAGTGAACGATGTGGTGGCACAGACAGATCATTATGGTCTGACAAGAATGCTGTTGCAAGGAGTTACCATGGGATCTGGCCGAGACTCAACACTCAAGGCAAAGGCGAGATGGATATACAATCAGACAGTTACTGGTATCATCAGAATTGGAACTCTCTGCTTGCTGCTGAAGATTGGGAACGATATGGAATGCTTATGGGAGTGTCCCGAGTGCTTTGCAGTTGATTCTTAATTCAATATTTAACATTGTCTGATCCAATCTTGTTTTTTTATATCGCCTTATTTAGTCTTGTTATGTCATGTACCGTCTTCTCAGTCATTGTTTTATCATTTACTCACTATTTTTACCTTATCCAGTTTTATCATGGCTGTCTTACATTACTGCATGTACTATTCAGGTATTGTGCCGCATTATCAGCTGAGGACAATGACATGCTGGTGCCTGCATGCATCGCCGGTGGTGATGTCGATCGTCTTGTGTCATTCTTCACCTCCAGAGGCCAGCTGGCTGACGCCATGCTAGTTGCTCAAAGTGCTTTTGAAGGATCCATTCCCCATACTGACTTTGAAGACCAACAGACAAGCACTTCTAGGGGTCAGGGTGACGATAAAGAACATTTCAACAGGTGAAAGCTCTTGAATGTTTAGTAGTTAGATTGTTTAGGACAAGTTTATAAAGTATTTTATTGGTTGACATATTTTTCTTTTTAACGTCTTAGCTCACATACTGCAAGGAAAAGTTGTTGTTTTGTTTTTGTTTTTAATATTAAATAAGGAAAAATGTTTAATCTTTCCAGCAGATGACTCCATTATACCGTAGAGATGACAAGTGTGACTGACAAGGCTAAGTCACACTGAGAAGGCTAAGTCACACTGACAAGGCTAAGTCACCCTGACAAGGCTAAGTCACACTGACAAGGCTAAGTCACACTGACAAGGCTAAGTCACACTGACAAGGCTAAGTCACACTGACAAGGCTAAGTCACACTGACAAGGCTAAGTCACACTGACAAGGCTAAGTCACACTGACAAGGCTAAGTCACACTGACAAGGCTAAGTCACACTGACAAGGCTAAGTCACACTGACAAGGCTAGGTCACACTGACAAGGCTAAGTCACACTGACAAGGCTAAGTCACACTGACAAGGCTAAGTCACACTGACAAGGCTAAGTCACACTGATAAGGCTAAGTCACACTGACAAGGCTAAGTCACACTGACAAGGCTAAGTCACACTGACAAGGCTAAGTCACACTGACAAGGCTAAGTCACACTGAAAAGGCTAAGTCATACTGAGAAGAATTTTCAAAAAATAGCATGATGGCCATTGACTGTAGCACAAAGCCGAGGCAGTACTTTTGAGACCATGTGTTACCCATGAAGCATGACATCTCTGCTTTGTTAACTTCAAAGGAAAGGTAACAACAATATGTTGGAATTAGGCAAAGGAAAAAAAAATGAGAAACAGAAGAGGAGAAATATATAAAGAACAGTGTTTTTTAAACTCTTTCGGGGCTCACGTGATGTGTGGTATGTAATTTATCATTCCTGCAAGGGAAAAAAACAACCAGCCCTTGTGTTCTGTAATTGTGTTTCTATGTTGGGTAGAAATCAACTATAAAAGTCTTGTTTTCTTCAGTGGCCATTTCCACTATAAATTAGCTTCTTTAACATTAATGACCTTATGATTTATCTTAGTTTTTTCCCCCATCTAAGGAGCGACTGGCCAAATGGTTAGAATGCTGGGCTCTCAAGCAGGAGACCCGGATTTGAATCCTTTGTAAGGTAAGGCTGGGGATTTTGTTCTGTCTGGGGCAAAATAAAATCCTCACCTGCACTATTGTGGCGACAGCACTAGCCATGCGGCCATAAATCCTCAGGCTCAGAGACCCCTCCACCCTGCCTACACCACAAAAGTGGTATCACAAAGGCAGTATTTGGCAGTTTTCCCCCCATCTTGGGAATCTTAAAGAAAAATTACTGGAACTGAAAGAGTTAAATGACAGATTGTCCTCACTGCCCATTAGTTATTTTCCCCATCTTGGGAATCTTACAGAAAGGTTACAATAACTGAAAGAGTTAAATGACAGATTGTCCTCACTGCCTATTGAACCATACACCTAGAGAGCTTAGTTTTTCCCCCAATCTTGGGAATCTCACAGAAAGGTTACAATAACTGAAAGAGTTAAATGACAAATTGTCTTCACTGCCCATTGAACCATTCCGCCCAGAGAGACTTATATGTTCTCAGTATCTCTATCCAAGGTGTCAAAATCAGTGACATCAACTCTATGTTGGTTTGCCATTCCCTTTTTGCTTTCTGGCCATTCCCTTTTGGCTTTCTGGTAGCGCAGTCTGGTCAAGGTTGCAGACTAGTCATTGTCACTTTTTTTGCTTTTTCTAGTAGAAGAAGGAAATATCACTCTACAACAGTGGCTCTCAACCTTTCTAATGCTGCGACCCTTTAATACAGTTCCTTATGTTTTGGCGACCCACAGACATACAATTATTTTCGTTACTGAAACTTCAATGAATATGCGTTTTCCAATGGTTTAAGGTAACTCCTATGAAAGGGTCATTCGACCCAAAAAAGGTTTGCGACCCGCAGGTTGAGAACCGCTGCTTTACAACATTATAAATGAGAAAAATGTCAGAGAAAGAGAGAGAGAGAGAGACACACTAACACATGCACACACACACACACACACACACACAAGATAAAAGTTCTAAACAACACATTAAAATTGGGAACTGTTATATGTTATGCATACTCTACCCTGCTGTAATGTTAACAAACTGACTACCAAGCCCATTAACTCTTGCACTGTGCAACAAACTACATATTTTAAGTGTTGACTAAAAATGCCATAGCTCCACAACAGTATAACTTAACTCATAGTAATTTTTATTTTTGCACCAGACTAAACTGAGAACAAATTTTAAGAACAAGAATTGAGTAATCTTGTTGTTTATCATCATCATCATGTGGCTGTAGATTGGTGCACAAAAAGCAACCAGAAATTTTTTTTTTTTCTTACAGCAGTATAGACTAACGATAGCTTTACAGCTGTTAAACTTAAACTCATAATATTTTGCTTTTCTGCACCAGCAAATGTCAAGAATAAAAAAATTGTGTAATCTTGTTGTACACCATCATTTTATGGCTGTAGATTGGTGCAAAAAAAAAAGGCAACCAAAAATTATCTCTCTGGAACCAGTATAATTATTTTGTTTTAGAAATAATCCTAAATGAGAGCTCTGCTGAGCTGTGAAATAAACTTCTGCAAATTCAATCGCTGTTTGTCATTTAACACCAAGAATTTTCAATGCAGCATGGCTGAATTGTCTAACTAAAATGTCACAAAAACAAATTTTTCCCAAACCAGGGAAACTGGCTGTCACAGGAATCACACCTCGGTAAACATTGAGGTTGCATTGTGAAATGATTTTCACTAAACTCTAAGCCGCCAAGCCGTAATGGACACAATCTACACTAACAGACACATCTAACAATACATACCTGAAGCACAGACATTAGACAGTCTACACAAAATAATGTACTTACCTCCGACTGCAACAGCTGGAGAAAGATTAACATTTCAATTTTAATAATGTTCTTGATGGCAGTTTATGAGAATTATCAAAGTTACAGGCATCAAACTTTTCAGAAATATCTTCACCTTCTCTTTCTAATTTAAAAATATCAGAAATTTTCCCCAAAATGTGCCACCCTGCCAACTCTGATGATCAGCTGCATTATCTAAAACATCGGCCTTATGCCTCATTGGCGTGGGAGCTCGCCAAAAACATTTGTGACAAGTTTACTTTAAGCACTGCAGAATTGTTTCCCTTAAACAAACAAAGAGAAATGAATGGACTTATGGCTTCAGCTCTATTTATCACAAAAGTTGCGATTATAACATAGCGGTAAACGTACACAGTTATGATTCCTAGGGGGGTGCGATCTAAGTAGCCAGGCATAAGTGTCAGCCGATCACATAACATGCAATCAAGATAGTCAGTGGGTTAAAGTGACCTGGTCAGTGAATAAATCATTAGAAAACCAAATTGAATCTCTAGAGATGTATTTATACAGAAGAATAGGTCATTTTCCATGGGGAAAAAAACAATTAAATACATAGGTTCTGAGAAGACTAAGAATGAAGAGAGAGTTGCTGATGGAAATTTAAAAAATAGACATGTTAAAGGTTATAACACTCTTATAAAAACCATACTTGAGGAAAGAGTTAAGGGAAGCGAGAAAATAGCAGACAGCTATATAAGTGGAAAGATGTTCTCAGGATTTGATTGATTGATATATTGTTTTTAACAACAGTAATAATATTGGAAGTTGATGATGATAATAAAGTCCTGTAACATTCAGTATTTTTAAGTATTGTAATAATTGTTCTGTTGTTTCAGACTAACAGTAGAAGTTTTAGAAAAGCTGTCAGATTTCTACTTTGCAAATGGATCTCCTACACTGGCTGCTTGCTGTCATCTTGCATCTGATGAGCAGAAAGTAATATTTTCTTGATTTCCTACCGATACGTATCATATTTCGCTCCCTGGCGGAGCCTGACTTTTTTTTTCAAAAATGACCTTGACTCCCAGGTCCATCCAGTCTTGAGTGGGTACCGGATTCAGTCCCAGGAAGTAACGGTGGCCAGCGTGATGCTGACCACATCACCCATCTTGTGCCGATTGGTCTGTAAAAATATAGGTCTAGCCCTATATGCCCTATGCGCCTAAAAGCGTGGAAAAGGGACCTTTACTTATTTTTCTTTACATATCAAACATGTCTTCTTTTTCTGTTTATCCTGCTTTTTCTTCATCATGATATTATAATTTGTCATATTATTATCACTATTATTATTCTACAGTATTTCTTGTCTTCTTCTGTGGTTTAATCAGCGTTGCGACGGTCAAATTCTGCAGCAGTATCCAGCTTTATTCACGATGGTATTTTTCTTATGTGCCACATTTACACTGTTGTTTCTGAAACATGCCACATACACATTGGTGTTTCTGAAACATGCCACATACACAGTGGTGTTTCTAAAATGCACCACATACACAGTGGTGTTTCTGAAACATGCCACATACACAGTGGTATTTCTAAATGTACCACATACACAGTGGTGTTTCTGAAACATGCCACATACATATATAGTGGTATTTTTGAAATGCACCATATACACAGTGGTATTTCTGAAACATGCCATATACACAGTGGTATTTCTGAAACATGCCACATACACAGTGGTATTTCTAAACTTGGAGAGAATAAACCTTAATCTTCTCCATATTTTGTTTTTCTGACATTGACTGCTTTGTTCTTGATTTCTTCCCTCCAGCTGGGTCATTAGTTATGTTTTCAAGAAGATGGTTTATGTTTAAGTTTGACACCTGTCTGGTCAGAAAATTATTTTATTGTAAACGAAAAGATGAAATGGAAGAAAAAGGCTACTTCCAGGTTTTATTTTATTTCCAGAGAGCAATGTCCAAGTTAATCAGGGGACATGAACTGGAACTAGCAGTCTATATAGGTCGTGTGTTGGGTGGAGCTCCTCAAGAAACTGATATTGCTCTAGAGCTTCTGTCCAGGCGATGTGAAGCTTTAGGAAAATGGTGAGTCTGTCTGCTGCTTTAGAATATCTTAGGAGAAATTATGAGTCAGTGAGTTTGTTGTGTTAGAGTTTCTTAGAGGAAATGGTTAAGTCTGTAAGTCTTTCTATACTGTTAGAATATCTGTAATGCCAGTGTCTGTAAATGAGAATGAAGGATTTGATTTGAGTCTGTTGAACTGTGCCAGGCAGATGCCGTACATGCATCTCAAAGGAGCCCAAACCAAGTTACAGGTGTTTCCTCTACCTCGGCTTGTGGAGCCAGGCGAACACATAGAGAAAAAACACAACTGACCAAAAGCAAGTAATAGATAGGACAGTGGAAGAGGTTGAGTCTGTGAGAAATCTGCTGTTAGAATATCTTATTAGAAATGGCCAGTATTTGGCCAAGGACTGTCTGGGCTGCAAAAACATTCTATCATATGAGGTCCACAAAAAACTGTAATATAAAAGAGTACCAAGTTTAAAAAATGTTTTTAGGGTTTATGTTTTTGAAGACGATAGAGTTTCACTTTTATTGCTGTATTGGGGGAAAATATACATTAAACTGTTTATGTTACTGTAGATAAGGTGTATATGGAGGAGACTATTCCATTTTTACATTTTTTTCCTCATTTTTATCTCTGTTATTTCTGTGTTGTTCTCTAGCTTTGAGGTTAGTAAAATGATTCCACAATACAATCCTCAAAGTTTACCACTGTTCAGTTCCTGCAGCTTTCACACAGTGGTACAAGAGTTGCACTGTGGAAGAGATTGGGACCTCACCACGCAATATTCCCATAATTAACAGTGGCGACATTGCAGTCACTCTCCACTGTGAAGATGGCACCTTTTATTTCTGTAACTGGAGACAGAATTTATATAATTTTTCTTTATTAAAGAATGATCGTATAGTTCTATTTTTCTACTGTTTCAAATTAATTAAAAGTGAATTTTTTTTTTTAGTTGCAAAATTCTTTTTTTTTTTTTTTTTTTTTTTTTTGCATTCACCTACTGTAAACTGTGGCAGAAAGTTCTGGTGGTTCATCCACTTTTGGACTTTGGTCTTGTTCCAGAATCTGAGTTTTGCATGCACATCCACTTGACAGATCTGGCTCATTTTTTTTATTTTGTTGTTGTTGGTACTGTTAGTTCCTTGCCTCTCAGGCAGATGCACTCCGACTTCAAAGGAAACATTCCTAATTAGTAGACTCTTACGATCTGCTTGTTAGGGAGCGGTGGGTTTGTTCCCCCCCCCCCCCCCTCCCCTCCACAATGGAGTCATGGACCCCGCACGAGGGTAGTTAAAAATTAGTAATGATGGCTTCAAAGTTCTTCTTCCCCTTCTTTTTTTTGGCTACAGTGGAGAGAGTTATAATGTGTTGTTGTTTTTTTGCTAAATGGTAATTTTTTTTTTTTTTAAACATATCTTTTTTCCTGGGTTTCTGAGGCAAAAAGATTAAATCTTCATGGGGGTATGTTTTCTTTATGGTTGGCAGGGAACTGGGCCTTGATCTCCTACAGTTGCAAACAAGGTCTTCTCTACAACAGGCCAAGTTATGTGCCAGGTGTTCATCTAGCATGGCGGAAATTAATGCCTTACACTACAAGGTACAATAAATTGTGCTGTTCTTTTGTGTGTGTCTTCTTAATGCAAATATAGAAGGTTAAAGGTTAAAGTCGAGAGGATAGACTTAATTGCACCGGGTTTTATCCCATATGGCTCGGTCTCTCTCCTCAGAATGGCTACTTGCCTGCCGAGAGCGCCGGGCAGAGCACGAACTCCATAGCTCTGGGAGTATCCTCAGGGATCTCTGTAAAAATTGCACTCATGAACTGAAGGGCACAGTCATGGAATGAACCCACGACCTTCAGAATGCGTGAACAAATGGCTTGACCACAGATGCCATATGTGGTTCTGATGCTAGATGCTAGCCGTTCTGTGGAGAGAGACTGAGCTATGTGGGATAAAATCCAGTGCAATGATTTTGATCCTCCCGACTTTAACTTTCTCTTTTACCACTTTGGGTGTGGAGAGAGATAGAAGGTTCTGCTTCTTGCTGTCCTGGCCACCGTGACCACAAACATGTCAGCTGTTGTAGAGTTTCTCTGACGATATCTTTTATCTTGTTCTTGGTCTACCTTGTGCTCTGCCTCCTTCTGCTCTTTTGGTGTATGTTTGTATGGCATCTGTGGCTTAGGCAAATACACCTCATATTGTTAGGTTAATGGTTTCAAGATCTGCATGAAATTTGGCAGCAGACCACCTTGCATTGGTTTTGACAGTATTGAGAGCCGACTGTAGAATGCAATGGCAAACTACTGAATGTTAATATGCCTAGAAAACTGCAACAGCCAAAAAATTATGTGGTTGGTTCTGCATCGACCTGTAAAGAACATGCAACTAACAAACTAGCTTGTATGGTATGGCAGCTCAAGGCTTTCTGTCTTCGGGGGGGAAGCCATTTGATTTGCTGTCTTTGTATTTAGAATTGGTTCTGTGCCGACTTTTTTTTTAATGACTTCATTCCTGATTTTATGTCTTCCTGCGGCCCTTTTCAGACATCTCATTTCCATACTTACTAATTCTCTTTTCTGATTTGTTGTTAGTGACCACGTCTGACACTGGTAGTATAGAGTGGGAATAAATAGGCTTTGTATGGGAAGTTCCTTTGTGCTGACTGGGATTGCCTTACTCTCTAAGGGAAAAATGGTGGGTGGAAGGGGGGGGGGGGAGCTACCAGTCCCTATGCTTGGTTTGCTTTACTGCAGGTTTTCTTCTTTTCATTTATCTTTACAAGATTGGAACATCTTTTCTTTGAGCCTCCATGACAAAATCATCAGTTAATATTTCTTTAGGCTCTGAAGGTCATATGTATATTTTTGGAGTGTGTCATTCAGTTCACACAGGACACAAACTGGGAAAATCTAAAAACAGTATAATTAGAATGACTGAACACTGGGACCCCCCTCCCCTACCTATAAAAAAAAAAAGCACATGGAGAAGGAAACTAGAGAGGGAAGTTAAAAATATAGCAGACATGGGGTGACATGCAATAACAGAGGATAAGGTGACATGGCATGAATTGGTTGTGGACCTGTGCTCCATTGGGGAATAAATAGCAGAAGAAGACATTCAGTTCATAAGTACAATATTTTCATAGATTCCTGAATATCATTGCTGGAGCTATGGAGTTTGTGCTTTGTGAGCTGCTCTTGTCAAGTGGCTGAGATTAACGCTAGATTGGTCATGTTTTCTCCACTGTTTTCTGGGAAATTTTTTAAAACCACAAAAAGCCATGAAAAAGATATCATCATTATCAAGTGCTTTGCCGACTGGCTTGGGTCATTATGCCTCTCAGCAGCTTAACTCTGTGAGTCCCAAGGAACGCATCATACATTTATAGGTTCCTACCTGGAAGCCCAATGAACGCATGATGCGCCGATTTTATGACTCTTTTTACTACTCCCTGGGCCTGTGATGCTAAACCACCTGGGACTCAAAGAGTTAAGATCTCCAACAGCATATACCAGTTCATGTGCTGACACCTCTTCTTACGATGACAAAAATTTGTTAAGAATCTTCTCACTTTCTTTTCCTCTATTTCTGTTTCTATAAATCTTTCCAACAAGATCCAGTTTCTCTGTTCTCATAATTTGACCCAAAACATTATGACTGTCTCCTTCTGATGTTTGTGATATGTTGTCCTAGGTCCATGACCATTTCAAAACATCTAGGTTAACTCAGTTTTGGCTGTTCAGGGAGTTTTAGGTATTCTATAAATCAACATCCCTGAGGCCCCAAGAAATTGTTTGGCTTTTTTAAAAACGTATTGTCCAGAATTCCAGCCATTTATTAAAACTGGCTCTAGACAGCCTTAAAACATCACATGATAGGGAATAATTGCATAAGATGTTCCTCATTTTATAGAATGCAGATTTGTTTCTGTTCTTTTCTGTTCCTAATCTGTGTGATGCATCTTCCATCTATGTGTGTGTGTGTGTGTGGTTTTTTTTTTTTTTTTTTTTTTTTCCAAAATAACACCATTGACTTTATTATTCATTTAGACACAATTATTTTCTTTGATATTACCATTTTTGTGTTCCTAGGATTCTAAGTCCATACTCTCACTTTCTACCACTAGATCATCTGTCATTTCCTGTAGTTTTTCCTGACTTGTTGCCACCAAGACAATATGGGGGTGACTGTAGTCAAGCTAATACTAAAGAATTCCAGTGTAATGTGACTAAAAAGCCTAATAAAACGGGGAAGCAGAAGAACATGCACAAAACAATGTGTTTTCGGCCACCGGCTAAAACATTGTTTTGTGTTGTTTTTTGCACATTTATCTGCTTCCCCGTTTCGTTAAGCTTGTTAGTCACATTTTACCGGAATTCCATGCCACCAAGACAGTGTCATCAGCTGTATAATATTTATATTATGACCACCAACCACATTCCAGAAATATTCATTATAGATAAAGAAAATTTGTTCAGGAGAAAATACACACTCTAAATTGTGCCATCTGTTTAATCAAACTGTTGCTCCATTTTGACAACTGCTACTACTTTTGTCCAGGCTGGCCTGCCCTCTATGGAAGAGTGTGAAACTAAGGGGAAAGCACTTCAGAGCTCTCCTGCAGATGTGGTGAACTGTGTCATGTTTTATCTACTTTCTCCGGCTTGTGAAAAAGGTTTACAGATTGGATTGCAGCATATCAGAGGTAATTCTTTATATGATATGTGAGAAATGATTGCATATTTCCATGAATATTTGCCAGCACTATTGTTTCTTCACTGATTGTCTCCTCAGCTCTCTTGCCCCCTAAATGCCACTTGTAGGTTCTTTGGTTGCTATGTTGTCTTCAGGTAGTGATCGCTATGCTTTAATGCTGGTTGCAACTGCATAATGTATAGACAAGTTGAAGATTCTCAAGCTGGTTTGGTTTTTCTTCTATATTTTTACAATTCTTCCTTTCTGGCAGATAAAATGAAGCTTCCTGATTGGTCCGTAGATGATGTGTTTCCTTTGCTGCAACTGCTCGGGTGTATCAAGACGGAAAAACTGCAGCATGCCAGGTGCTCATCGTGAGTTTATGGCAGTCAGTTATTTTCATCACACAGTCATATTGCCTTATTCAGCCTATTTCTTCTTATTCTTTTCTTTATCCGTGCGATTGGTTTTCAGAGGAGAGCCACAAGCCGCTATGAAGATTTGGATGTGATGCATGCTTTTTAATGCTCCAAACAGTTTGGTTTCCACCACAATGCCAACTGGCAGACCAGGCATCTCTCTGCTGCATGTCTACAGCACAAGTTAATATGATCAGAATTTTGTGCTGTTTTTTTACAACGGACAGATCCTAATCTTGAACTTCCTGTAAATATGGCTGCGGAGTATGTTGTTTCCAGTTTGCAATCAAATCATCCACTTCTTCTGATGTAAAAAGTATAAGAACAGTTTCGGAGAGGAATGGGTGCATGCAAAAGAAGGACACTGGCACAGCTGTCTACTCAAGAATTCACTCATGCTTGCATACAGAGGGACTCAATGAATGTACTCCAAAACAACTAGACAAGCCTCATCAGACAAGAATAGATTCTCTTATTAAATGCATTACAAAAAGCTCACCAAACCTTTATCATTGTCCCAGGCCTTGTGAGGCAGGAAGCCTGCAGATTATCTAGCAGACAAGGTGGTTTCTATGACTTGACTTGGCACTGGATGGAAGTGTTGTCATTAATGCCATGCCAGATGCAAATCGTGAAGAAGATCATGACCTGGCTGATGGAAATGGAAGTGCAGCATGGAGCAGCAAGAAATTTCGGTTAAGGGCACACAATGTCTGATTAATAGACTCAGAGTGGGCATGATCAATTGTTTTACTCTTGTGGAGCTCTTCAGAAACATCCGAAAAATTGAAATTGCAGAAGCCTGGCTTTGTGTTTAGGTTACAGAGTTAAAGACACAAGTATGGACTCCATTATCCCAGATTTGATCTCATATGACTCAGTCACTAATTGCAGTGGTTGATTGACTGCCAAGAGGGTCACACAAAGCACAGACTGTTGCTCCAGTGATGACCCTGAGGGATCTCCAAACACCTGCACTTATGAAAGGACTGATCTGTTACTTCTTCTGTTTCTTCTGTGTTTGTCCTCAAAAGGGTATTTAGCAGCTAGGCTGTGACATTTTCAGCCTGACACATTAAATTTTAGCAAAACTCTACTTGCCTTTTATGACATGCTTGCAGGGGGCAGTGGACCTACCTCTCCTCCCTTCCTTTCCAAGATTTCAACATCTCTCAGATTTAAGCTTTAACGATCCCCGTGTGAATTCCAGGGCCCTATTGTGGAGAGAACAAGAATAGACCCACTGCCTGCCCAAAAGCATGTCGTAGGAGTCAACTAATTGGGAGCTTCCTTTGAAGTCTAGTGCATCTGCCTGAGAGGCAAGAAACCAACAGTCTGCATACAAATTAGTTAGACCTGTGAAACAAATGTGCATGCAAAACTCAAGTTTCTGGAACAGGACTAGAGTCAAAAAGTGGACGAGCAACCAGAACTTTCTGCAGGAGTTTACAGCAGGTGAACACGAAGAAGAAGAAGAAGCTTTAACTGCACAGTGACTGTTTTGGGGTTTCTTTAGTTTTAAAACAGTTGTATCAGTGTCATTTTCTTTTTTTTCTTTTTTTATGTATGTTGACAAATGCTTTTTTAGCTGCAACAGCCATTCTATCATGTGTTATAATGTTCTTATTATTGAACTGTCCAGTTCCACTTTCTGTTTATTGATACAATGTGAAGTTAATCTGGAACAGAAAACAGTTTCAAATACTCAGTCTTTAGTTTAAATGTTTGGAAACTCAAGTCTTTATGCTTAAATACCCACCATTTCAGGAGCTGCAGTAACATAGTGACTAGATGTTTGCCTCAGGCCCTAAGGTCTTACGTTCAAATCTGCATTATGGTTTGTTTTGTTTTTTTCCAGTTGACCCTGGCTCCCAGGTTGACCCGGCCTGAAATGGGTACCAGTTAATATCTTGGGAAGTAAAGGTGACCCTATCACCTACAGAGTACTGATTTGTTTATAAAAATTTGAGTCTATTATCATATGTCAGATTGGCCGCTGGCATAAAACAGGTCCTTTACTTGATTATACTTACCTTCAGTGCCATCATGTTTATTTAACATGTAACCAGAGATGCTCAGTTTTTTGTCTTTTCACTTCCCAGAATGATTTTTGAGCTTCTGGCCTTGTCTGCTTACATTGGAGCCCTTGTAGCAATGAAGAGGCAATATTACCAAATTGTGGGCCCATTACTGGCACATGCCAAGTAAGATGACATTAAGATGTAAATTTAGTGTTCTTTCACTTCACATATGACAGCTAGCTGCCTGCTGAGATGCACTAGACTCCAAAATTCCAGCAGCGATTCTCATTAATCTCTCTAACAGTTGCACTTGTTAATTAAACAAATGCAGCATGTGAAGTGAACCTCTGACATGTAGAGTACGAAACAATCGGCTTAACCATGGAACAAAGACTTCATTTTTCAACCTGATAATCAGGTAATTGCTTTTCTAACCTCATAACTCATTATGAAAGCTAAAATATTTTTGTCAACTCAAGCGCCGTGGTGGATTGGAAAATACAGTAGCAGAGGGCATGGTACCAGGAAGGAGGGGCAGGGGCCGGCCAGCGTGAACATGGGCACAGGATATAAGTGATTCCTTGAATATAAAAGTTACAAGGTGAGAGAGCTGATGAGAGACGAGTTTCTTTCATGCAGATCGTGATGAGAGGGATGTTCTGCAAAGAACCTGCTATATAATAATGAACTTCATAGTAAACTAGATCACCCCATAGGTGCTCTATTCCTGGGCCAACAGAAACCATACAGGATATCCATCACTGTGCCTTATGGAAAAAAACTGACACAGACTGAAGTCTCAGCAAATCAAAATGCATAAGGCAGCATTCAGAAGTGCCTACACAGACAGTCCCACTAGAAATGCAGTTCCTCATTGATGGAAGCAGCAGTTACAACCCATTATTAGTTGCATACACAACTTATTGCACAAAGCACTGCTAGTTCTCTGGCAACAGGTCGCTCACTATTTTCCGGATCTGCAGCTGACAACACAAACCTGATTGGATACAGTTGAAAAGCATTCTAGATTCCCAGATTACATTGTCACACAGTGCACTCAACTTAGTAACTGAACGACAGAACTGTATTCTTTCAGTCTACATGAAACGGGGTGGGGTTTACATTTAAAGGGGAAGAGAAGAAGGGGTATAAAAGTAGAGAGAGACGGACAAGAAGAATAATAGTTAAAGAATGAATGAGAAGATGAAGGGTTCTCCTATGTGGGGAGTGTAATAATAGGTATACACCCCCATACACTGACTATAGCCTGTTCATCTGGGGTTGAGTTGAGTTGAGCTCTTAACTCAGCACAACACTAAATGATCAGGCTATAGTCTTTGGAGATTTAAAAGAGTGTTATGTCATGACAGTATAATAAAGTAGTATGAAGACCACAACAACAATAACTAAGTTAATAAACTAGCGATGGAATAAAAGAATATCATCTAACAGTTGTGTTTATTAAGGAAAAGAATTACAACAGCTCATATATCTCTTATTACACAAACAAGATCACCTCAAAACACATCATAATACGCAAGATGTTAAAAGTTATTACTAGAGTGAATCCAATCGCTACTCGCATTACACCTCCTTAAATATTACAGCAGCCTACTATTCATCACAACTGATACAGAATCTACCCTACTCAATGATAAACTATCAAGTAACTCCTAGAATCTCATTCCCTGCTATTAATCAGTACTTGGAAACAACTACTATAATCCTACATATCAGCCTACAACTACTATCTAGATACCACCTACTAAAAAGCTAACAAAAGCTAACTCATCTAAATCAAGACCATCACTTTCATGCCGCCTGTTAAATATATTCTAACAATCTATAAGTTTACATTCCTAAGCATATAAATGTTTAACACAACAACATAAATTGTATTCTACACTAAACTGAACCCTAATATTCAGGTGAATATTTCTATTTCAAACTCTCATTCTTATGCCCTTGTGTACATCCCTATCAGTAACCCACTTGTCTTCTCAAACAATGCCCATGCCTTTCCTCATCTACCACAATAGTCTGGCTACAGAGCTTATAGACCCTCCTGTCTCATTTAACCTCAACACCTGATACTTCTGTCACACCCCCTGCAGGTAAAATCTATGTTATTCATGAGCTGGCCTATTGGTCGCTTGACTAGGACCATCAGAGTTTAATTTCCCAATCTAAATGGCTTGCACTTTCACGTATCTTCTTATGTTCATTCTCTACTCGTCTTCAAATCAAATTCAATTGTTAACAACATTATAAATGCATTATTTACTTAGGCCTAATGTTAATATACATGACGTTATCATTTCCTTGCGGCTCTAACTCTGCTGTTGAGTCAGATAGGTCATTTGCCATGTTTACCTTTATCATAATACCATCACCATCATGTGCCGGCAATCCAATTGTTACTATAATACTTTCCAGCGGAAGCTTACATTCTACATTACAAACTCAACACAGAAAACATATAATTATACATGTAATTATGCTTATGACATCAGTGTCTGTCGATTTTCAACTTTAATCAAAACAATGCAGACCATGTTAGATACCTGAAAGGTCATCCTAGGGTTACCCAGTCCATTCACTACACCTTGAGCTGTCTGTTCTCTATCTGTGAAATCCTATTATGGGCCTGTATTCTTGAACTTGCCTCCTGGACTCTGTATTGTTATCTTCTATCCATCTGACCATTTCTGGTTGTTTTGGTTTTCCTTCAGTGTTCCAAGATTATGTTTACTTCCATAAATCGTCATAGATACATATGGCTACTCACATTGCATTAATATACTTGGTTCTGCCATCGTGACATTGCATTTGTTCTGCTGTTCAGTTATCATCATCATGTAACCATAATCAGTTGTCATGCCGATAACCCAACATTTTCTAGAATACTCTATATCTTATCTGATTACTGCAAAACAATATAAATACTACTTACAAATCATCCAGTAATGTTTCATGCATTATCTGGCACATCTCACTAAGCTTACTTATTTCTGCCATGTCTCCAAAGCAGCGACATCTCACCAGTCCGGTCAACCTGCCATTCCACCATTTTGACTAGCAATACCAAGATGGATCCTTGATTTATTCAGTCGTCACCATATATAAACTTTGATTTGTGTGTTTTTTGTTTACAGTAGACAATCATTTACGGGCAATATCATGTCTTCCTTCTTAACTTCAACCATGGCAGTTGGTACACTTGAAGAAGGTTGCAACAACAACAAAAATCAGATGTATTTCTTTTATGTCAGGGTCATGATGCAAAAGGGGAATGTGAAGTTGAGTGTTTCACAGGATCAGATTGATGAAACATGCATGGTATTCAAAGCTGCAATAGACAACAGGTGAGCTGTTTAAGTAAAAGGGAATAAAGATAGAACACGAGTAGGGTTTTCAGTTTAATATTAAAAGAACTAAAAATGATGTGAGATTATTCAGGTGAAAGATGTAAAAAAAAAGCTATTTTAAAAAAAAAAAAGGTAAATGATTCAAGTAAAACATGTAAAAAAACTAAAACAGCAGAGGATTCAGATAAAAGACATAGAGTTAGTTGTGTATCCTTCACAGAACTAACCCCAGCATTTGTTTTGTTTTTTTCTGTTAACTAGGCAATTTTATGTTCAGTAGTTTGGTGAAAGGCATTAAGTTAGTTGCTCAGGCATAAGATTGTAAAACACAGATGAACTGTTAACATCTAAGATTACGATGAACAGAAATATGTCATTTACTAAGGTAACAATTAAAGAAGAAAAATTTAATAAGAGATTAGGTACAAGATGAAGGATTTAATAAGCAGGTGAGTTACTCACTTGTAAGATGAAGGATTTAACAAGTAAGTGAGTTGCTCACTTGTAAGATGAAGGATTTAATAAGTAGGTGAGTTGCTCACTTGTAAGATGAAGGATTTAATAAGTAGGTGAGTTACTCACTTGTAAGATAAAGGATTTAATAAGTAGGTTAGTTGCTCACTTGTAAGATGAAGGATTTAATAAGTAGGTGAGTTACTCACTTGTAAGATAAAGGATTTAATAAGCAGTTGAGTTACTCACTTGTAAGATGAAGGATTTAATAAGTAGGTTAGTTGCTCACTTGTAAGATGAAGGATTTAATAAGTAGGTTAGTTGCTCATTTGTAAGATGAAGGATTCAATAAGTAGGTTAGTTGCTCACTTGTAAGATGAAGGATTTAATAAGTAGGTTAGTTGCTCACTTGTAAGATGAAGCATTTCATAAGTAGGTGAGTTGCTCACTTGTAAGAGGATTTAATAAGTAGGTTAGTTGCTCACCTGTAAGATGAAGGATTTAATAAGTAGGTTAGTTGCTCATTTGTAAGATGAAGGATTCAATAAGTAGGTTAGTTGCTCACTTGTAAGATGAAGGATTTAATAAGTAGGTTAGTTGCTCACTTGTAAGATGAAGCATTTCATTAGTAGGTGAGTTGCTCACTTGTAAGAAGGATTTAATAAGTAGGTTAGTTGCTCACTTGTAAGATGAAGCATTTAATAAGTAGGTGAGTTGCTCACTTGTAAGATGAATGATTTAATAAGTAGGTTAGTTGCTCACTTGTAAGATAAAGCATTTAATAAGTAGGTGAGTTGCTCACTTGTAAGATGAAGGATTTAATAAGTAAGTGAGTTGCTCATTTGTAAGATAAAGCATTTAATAAGTAGTTGAGTTGCTCAATTGTAAGATAAAAAGGATTTAATAAGTAGGTGAGTTGCTCACTTGTAAGATGAAGGATTTAATTAGTAGGTGAGTTGCTCACTTGTAAGATGAAGGATTTAATAAGCAGGTGAGTTGCTCACTTGCAAGATGAAGGATTTAATAAGTAGGTGAGTTGCTCACTTGTAAGATGAAGGATTTAATAAGTTGGTTAGTTGCTCACTTGTAAGATGAAGGATTTAATAAGTAGGTGAGTTGCTCACTTGCAAGATAAAGGATTTAATAAGTAGGTGAGTTGCTCACTTGTAAGATAAAGGATTTAATAAGTAGGTGAGTTGCTCACTTGTAAGATGAAGGATTTGATAAAGAGGTTAGTTGCTCACTTGTAAGATGAAGGATTTAATAAGTAGGTTAGTTGCTCACTTGTAAGATGAAGGATTTAATAAGTAGGTGAGTTGCTGAGGTCAAAGTATGTATTTGCATGTGCGTGTTTATGGCAACGTTATAAATATGCCTTTGATCTGTGGTTCCCATCTGGCTTAGACCTGCCAACCCCTCTCATTTTCTGCTACAGACCACATACTTTTTAAATAGTTATTTATTTATTTATTTATTTAAAGAAAGTGTCAGTTTTACACGACCCTTTATTTATAACAAATTAGTAGAGTTGAGTTTTTTTAAAGTTTCTTTTTTGTTTGTTAATGATGTCACAGATTTGGGGGGGGGGGGGGGGGATAAAAATAAAATTCTAACCTGCACAGTCCATGGTAATTCTACTAGCGATGCGGCCTTAAATCCTCAGGCTCAGACCCCCTGAATACACCACAAAAGTGTTAAATACAGGCAGTAAGGTTAGGGACCCTTTCTTTACTTTGTGCGTGCTGTTGCGCTTATAGTGCTGAACCTATATTTTATAAACCAATCAACACTCTTTACATAATGTGGTTACCGTCACTGCTTGTTACATAAATTACAGTGCTCAGTCTCTCTCTGCATATGGAGAGTGTGAACACTAATCATACTGCTTCTAAGCTGGTTTTAAATACTTTTGTGCCACCATCTCCAGAACACCCATGTTAACTATAACCTCAAGCAATTTCCAGTTCCCTCAGTCTTAAGTTCTGTTGCTTCATCCTATCATAGAAGTAAAGACATGTAGAATTCCATCACACAGAATTTAAGAATAGTTTTGGGGGCCACGCTAGTGCAGTCGATAGGAGACTTGCTTTCAAATCCAGCTGCGACTCGCTGCAGCCCACAGCTGGTGTTCGAAACCGGGCAGTTCCCAGGGTTCACCCAGCCTTCAGGTAATGGCTACCAGAGTTAACATTCTGGGGTAAATAGAGAAACGTCGCTGTAGCTACAGAGTTACGTGCGGACGGCGACACAGGCAGGCAGTTTCTTATCAGCTGTCCGTACTGGTGGCAGAGCACTTATGGTTTATAACCGCGTGCAATGACGCTGGTTCACATCTTGCTGGAAATAGTACAAATCTGATTTTTGAATGTTTTCTTCAATAATAATTCTCATTTTAATTTTTCAGATTGACACCGGAATTGGAGCCATTATATAAAACATTAATGCAGCATTTTGGTAGTCTCCAGGACTGGGCTTTAGAACTGGGGCCAGACTGTGCAGGAAGCTCCAATCTTCCATCTCATTCTGATATCCAGGTATCTGTACTTTCAGGGGACAGAATCAAGGTATGTACACATAAAATTAATTGATCAATCACAGTTAGTAATTCCCCTTGATCTCTCTCGGGGTAGTGAGATTGGACACCCATGTGCATCGTCGCGCACGTAAAAAAATCCCTTGGCAGTTGGAAATTGAAAAGAGTAGCCTAAGGGCGCTGCCCAGGCAAAATTTGGAGTTAAAGATCTACCCAAAGTATTTCAGGATCCTCGCGCGTGTTACAGAGCCTGTCATACCATTGTATGAACCAAACAAGAAGTCTTATCAGCTAGCACAGGACTGGCACTGTTAACTACAGAACACTCTATCTGCATGTAAGGGGGGAGTGGTAGAAATCTGTGCACCTATGGATGTGTCCGGAGTGCCATGACTGGATATACGAGTGTCTTTATTGTATCTGATGAAGAAAATCTGAATCAGTTATGATGATAACTCTCTGCTGGTGGGAAACAGTTAACCCATCTACATAAATGTCTCATACACCCTACCCACCAGAGAACACTTCATGTGGCTGATTTTTTTTCTGTAGGACAATTAAGGTTGGACACTTTTTGAACAGACTTTGCTAAAAGTCCTAGATTTACTATTGCAGTATATATGAATCACAAAAAGCCATGTCACTTGTCACTTGTTGTTCATATTGACGTCCTAGCATATCAGTCGGACCCATTCATGCTCCATCCTCTAATGCAGCCACCATCTCGGTGTCACCATTCTCCACGTACCCAGTAGTAGGAGTTGATTTTCATATCTTTACCCTGTAACTGGTTTTTACATGCTTATCCTCATTGAGTACCCATTTCCAACAAGCAATTCAATACCTCTATCTCCTTTATCTCAAAGTCTCTAGAATGCTGTGCATTCAGCATGTCTGTCCTCTCCATGCTTTTTCCTCCACCAACCACTGCAGACACAGCCATGTCACTAGGACACAATGGAAGCAGAGCTCAAGGTTGTCTGTGTAAGTGTTTCACAAAATCACCTTTATTTTTGTCTCAGGGCATGCTGTTGTGAAAGGCAGTGAGAGAGCAGACACACTGGCTGGTACTGTAACTATCAGACACCCTGACTGGCAGTGTAACTATCAGACACCCTGACTGGCAGTGTGACTATCAGACACCCTGGCTGGTAGTGTAACTATCAGACACCCTGACTGGTAGTGTAACTATCAGACACACTGGCTGGTTCTGTAACTATCAGACACCCTGGCTGGTAGTGTAACTATCAGACACCCTGGCTGGCAGTGTGACTATCAGACACCCTGGCTGGTAGTGTAACTATAAGACACCCTGGCTGGTAGTGTAACTATCAGACACCCTGACTGGCAGTGTAACTATCAGACACCCTGGCTGGTAGTGTGACTATCAGACACCCTAGCTGGTGGTGTAACTATCAGACACCCCGACTGGTAGTGTGACTATCAGACACCCTGACTGGTAGTGTAACTATCAGACACCCTGACTGGTAGTGTAACTATCAGACACCCTGACTGGCAGTGTAACTATCAGACACCCTGGCTGGTAGTGTAACTATCAGACACCCTGACTGGTAGTGTAACTATCAGACACCCTGACTGGTAGTGTAACTATCAGACACCCTGACTGGTAGTGTAACTATCAGACACCCTGACTGGTAGTGTAACTATCAGACACCCTGACTGGTAGTGTGACTATCAGACACCCTGACTGGTAGTGTAACTATCTGACACCCTGACTGGTAGTGTAACTATCAGACACCCTGACTGGCAGTGTAACTATCAGACACCCTGGCTGGTAGTGTAACTATCAGACACCCTGACTGGTAGTGTAACTATCAGACACCCTGACTGGTAGTGTAACTATCAGACACCCTGACTGGCAGTGTAACTATCAGACACCCTGGCTGGTAGTGTAACTATCAGACACCCTGACTGGTAGTGTAACTATCAGACACCCTGACTGGTAGTGTAACTATCAGACACACTGGCTGGTTCTGTAACTATCAGACACCCTGACTGGTAGTGTGACTATCAGACACCCTGACTGGTAGTGTGACTATCAGACACCCTGACTGGTAGTGTAACTATCAGACACCCTGACTGGTAGTGTAACTATCAGACACCCCGACTGGTAGCGTGACTATCAGACACCCTGACTGGTAGTGTAACTATTAGACACCCTGACTGGCAGTGTAACTATCAGACACCCTGACTGGTAGTGTGACTATCAGACACCCTGACTGGTAGTGTAACTATCAGACACCCTGGCTGGTAGTGTAACTATCAGACACCCTGGCTGGCAGTGTGACTATCAGACACCCTGGCTGGTAATGTAACTATCAGACACCCTGGCTGGCAGTGTAACTATCAGACACCCTGGCTGGCAGTGTGACTATCAGACACCCTGGCTGGTAGTGTAACTATCAGACACCCTGACTGGTGGTGTAACTATCAGATACCCTGGCTGGTGGTGTAACTATCAGACACCCTGGCTGGAAGTGTAACTATCAGACAGCCTGGCTGGTGGTGTAACTATCAGACACACTGGCTGGTAGTGTAACTATCAGACACACTGGCTGGTAGTGTGACTATCAGACACACTGGCTGGTAGTGTAACTATCAGACACACTGGCTGGTGGTGTAACTATCAGACACACTGGCTGGTAGTGTAACTATCAGACACACTGGCTGGAAGTGTAACTATCAGACAGCCTGGCTGGTGGTGTAACTATCAGACACACTGGCTGGCAGTGTAACTATCAGACACACTGGCTGGTAGTGTAACTATCAGACACACTGGCTGGTAGTGTAACTATCAGACACACTGGCTGGTAGTGTAACTATCAGACACCCTGGCTGGTAGTGTAACTATCAGACACACTGGCTGGTAGTGTAACTATCAGACACCCTGGCTGGTAGTGTAACTATCAGACACACTGGCTGGTAGTGTAACTATCAGACACCCTGGCTGGTAGTGTAACTATCAGACACCCTGGCTGGCAGTGTAACTATCAGACACACTGGCTGGTAGTGTAACTATCAGACACACTGGCTGGTAGTGTAACTATCAGACACCCTGGCTGGTAGTGTAACTATCAGACACCCTGGCTGGTAGTGTAACTATCAGACACCATGGCTGGTAGTGTAACTATCAGACACCCTGGCTGGTAGTGTAACTATCAGACACACTGGCTGGTAGTGTAACTATCAGACACCCTGGCTGGTAGTGTAACTATCAAGAATGGGCATCTATGGACAGGAGACATCATTAATGCCATACAAGAGACTTTGTGAAGCATTCAGTTTCCTGTTGAAGCTGCGAGACAGGAAATCCATGGGAGAGCCACCCATCATTATATCAGCCAGAAAAGAATGAGAGCTGTTAGCCTAAAAACACTTAAAGACATATTCAGGGGGAAATCGGAGCACTTATAGTCATGTCTGATGTGAGATGAAAATGATCTTTGAATGAACAGTGTGTAAGCGATGGATGGATGGAATATCTGAGGCCACGAATACCACCATCTATGCAGCACATACCAAGGCTGGCACCAGATGCCTCTTCAAAACCTGACTAAAACAGAAAATGCATCTAGAGAAAAAAGAAGAAGAAGAATGCATATGTTTGAAACTGTAATGAGCTTTGTTCTACTAACTCTGCTTGCACTGGCTGTTGTCTGGGAGATGATGTGTGTAGTGAATGCTCTTAGCACACATTCTATGATGACATAACTGGGACAAGCCTACACCGACTTAGCCGTACGATACATCAGTTTATTGACATCTTAACACTTACAGAAACGTTCGGTCCTTGTCCTAGTAAACAGCTTTCACACACCACATTACTCCAACTCTTAACCTGCTGGTTTCTCACGCAGTCACTGACCAGAGTTTGCACAGATGAATCTGGTTCTTCTCCTCGACTTCATACAGACTGGCCTGGCTGGTCTTGGCTTCAAATGGATGTCGTCGTCTGCTATTCCTCTCATAGCAATCAGTCTCACACTGGCATTCTCTCAATTAGTCTCCCGTCCTTTCACTCCGTGTTTGTTTCACGTGGCAACATGTGGTGGTCATTTACTTCCACGTGGCGACCTGTGGTCGCTATCATCGAGTTCCACGTGATAACTCGTGGTCATTGTCTATCTTGAAAACCTCAGTTAATCCGAGTATCTGGCTTCTCTCGGTATTCTAGTTGACCTTGGGCTTCCCCCCCCCCCCCCCAATCTTCCTAATCTGGGTGAAAATATCCCCCATTACAGAAACAATCACAGAAATGTCACAATAAAATTTTTACATTTTTCTTTTTCCAGGGGCAAGCTTTCTTTCTTGAAGATGGACAGTCAGCAATTTCATTGAATGAAGCTTTGATGTGGGCCAAGGTCAACCCGTTTTCACCACTAGGGTCTGGTGTTAGAATTAACCCTTTTTGATGTATACAGTCGGGTTCACTTAAGTTAAACTCGGATAAGTTGAATTTCGGTTAAGTCGACAGGACCAGCTTAGTCCCGGCAATTTTCTTTATTGTGTGTGCTGTCTGGATAAGTAGAAGTCCTGATAAGTGGAAGCATTTTCTTAGGTCCCTGCGACTTCTACTTACCAGACTCGACTGTATCTTCTTATGGAACACTAGGCAATTTAATGTTTTATAGTTAGGCACTGTGATATCAGACCATTATCATATGTAATATGCAATTTTAACATGTTCATGTGAGATAAGGTGATATTAGTTCATTTTCTTATGAAATGCCATTTTGTCATGTTCTTTTGAAATACTAAGGAATTTTAACATGATCTCGTGAAATAATATGCCATTTTAACATGACATTATGAAATACTGTGCCATTTTAATATGATTTTATTAAATGCTAAACTATTTAAACTTTTAGGGTAGCCCACCATTTTGACATCATCCTGTTAAATATTCATTCTAAAGTAATCATGTGAAAAACTACACAATTTCAATATGATATGTGCAATCCTCCATATTTTTTTAATATGTCTTTAAAACTGTCACCAATCAATTGGATATGCTAGACATAGCACTCATAGGAAGTTACTACAGAAAGTACACTCACCCACTGGCTTGGAAGGTGGGGGTTTGATTCATAATGAGGCATTGTTTGGACAAATCAGAAGCATTCTCCAATTGGCTGGTTGTGCATCACTGGGTAGTAAATTGATGCATGACAAGATAGATGTGGTCAAGATCCCTTTGGGAATGAAAGAACTGTGCAGAAGCACAAATAAGATCAAAAAAGAATGGTACATTGGGGAGTGACTAGTGGTCCTGATCGACACTCAACACTCAGAAAAGGTGAGACAGACATACAATCAGATGCTGCTGGAACATTTGGAATTGGAAGTTTGTGCTGAATGCTGAAGATAGGGACGGCATTCTGACAGTGGTTCAAGAGTTGCACTGTGGAAGAGATTGGGGCCTCACCATGTGATATTCCTAGGGATGGATGCACATGTTCAGTGCAGCCAACGTTCATTATGATTTGTTTCAAGAAGCGACATCACAGCACTCTGGGCATTCCCATAAGCGCTCCGTCCCCATCTTCAGCAGCCAGCTCAGAGTTCCAATACCAATGGTGCCAGTAGCACCATATATATGTCCGTCTTGCCTTTCCTCTGTGCATTAAGTATCGGCCAGAGCCCCTCGTCACTCCTCGCTGCAACACTCTCATCCGACTGAGATGATCAGCTTGCTGTTCCAAATTGTACACACACTCCCATAAGGCCTTAACCACGTCTGCCTTATCATGTATTACCATACCACCAAGTTCTGCAGAGCCAGCGAATGTGTAGACCTGTTCATTTTCCAGCATGTACTGGAGAAAACAGTGCTCTTCACTGTTGACCTCCAAAACAAAGCATGCCACTCTGTACAAGGCATGTGTGTGTGTGTTTGTTTCTCTAGCCAGCAGAAAGCTGCAGTGACCACCTCCATTCTTAAGCTGGATGTTGGGTATCAAATGCTTTTCTGTACCAAACATTGACTATTAGCTTTCATTATGGAAACTGTATGTGTGTGTGCGTGCATTTTTAAAAATGTATTTATTTACTCAATTTTTATCACTTTATCTGTTATCTGTCATTCTCTCTGTCTCTTTTACATGCATTTGCTCTACCTATCTTCTTCCCTCTTTTTTTTACTTACATTTACACTCTTTCTGATATCTGTTATCACTTTTTCTCTTGTCCCCACCTATCTCTTTCTTGTTTTCTCTCTCTTTCTTTCTTGCATTCACTCTGCCAGCCTCTCTCTCTCCCTCTCTCTATATCTCTCACACTCTTTTTCATTCACTCTGCCAGCCTCTCTCTCCCTCTATCTCCTGCACACTCCCTGCCTCTCTCAGACTTTCTTGCATTCACTCTACAAGCCTTTCTCTCTCCCTCTTTCTGTCTCCCCCTCTCTCTCTCTCTCTCTCTATTTCTCTCACACTTTCTTGCATTCTCTCTGCCAGTGTGAACACCCCTCCCCCCCACCAATCCATCTCTTATTATATCTACCCCCTTTACTTATATGACAAGAAAAGGTAGCACAGTGGCTAGACACTCGGCTGCCAGTTTGAAAGTATTGGGGTTGAATCCGCATCGAGCCTCACACACACACACAAAACCTTTAAGTGACTTAGACTAATATCACCCACCCAGTGCCGATTGGCGTACTAAATATTAGTTTAGCATCATATGCCCGATGCACCACTGGAGTAAAAATGGTGCTTTATACTGTTGTTGTTTTTTTCTAACATTTTTTACTAATCAATAAACAGTTGTTTCTTCTTCTTACAGTCCATGCTGTGTGGTGTTGGTAGTTATGTCTATCCACAGCCTTCTGTCTCATGTATATTCAGTCAATTCTGACACAGATATCTTCCATGCCGTGATGTCAAACTGTCCAGCATTCTTTCTTAGTGTCTCCTTCCACCTCTTTACCTCTCCAGCTTTCTCACTGTCACGATGTATGCCAGTTTTCTCCTAGATATGACCAAAGAACGTAGATTGTCTCATTCTTATGTGGGCACTGAGTTCTGTTTGTGAGTCAGTTTCTTTCAAGACATCTTCATTACTCCTTTTATCTGTCCGGGGTGTTTTCATCATTTGTCTGTAAAACCACATTTCTGCCGCTTGCATATAATTTTTTCATAATTGGCCAACTGTCTGATTTACTTCCATACACCGTGATAGAATTTTTCAATTGACAAAAACAAAACAAAAAACAAGATTGCATACAGCAGTCTTTGTTCTGCAAATACACTGCCTTTGCTTGAGTTTTTTCTCTCTAATACATCTCTCATTCGCTGTTATCAAGTTATCCAAGTATCCTGAATGCACATAAATAGAATTTCTTGAATATGATAAATGTTGCTGGTGAATTGGATAAAATTAACATCAGATGCAATCAAGCAAACCAAGTATTGGGACAGCTAGCCACCCCTTTAACAGGATAAATAATGATCCAAGTTAGCACAAAGAAATGTCTCATACAAAGCACTTTGTACTACTAGTGCCAGACAAGGTCACTCGCAACAAATCATGAAAGAAAATCAGTAACCATGGAAATGATGTGTCTGAGAAAGGCTGTAGGGGTGACCAGAAGAAACAAATCAGAAATGAGGTCAAAAAAGTTGACACAGAACCAGTTCTAAATTACTTACAAAAACTGCATATCAGGTGCGTACAAGGCCTACACCAAAAGAGAAGAAGGATATAGAACACAAGGTAGTCTTAGAACAAAATGTTGAATTAAGAATCGACATCACAGCACTCGAGACACTCCCATAAGTGCTCAGTCCCTATCTTCAGCAGCAAGCCAAGAGTTCCAATTCCGATGCTACCAGTAACCATCTGATTGTATATCCGTCTCACCCTTCCACCGAGTGTTGAGCGTCGGTGAGGTTCCCTGGTAACTCCTTGCAGAGCCATTCTCCTTAGACCATAATGATCTATTTGCGCCTCTGCACTGTTCACTCGCTCCCAAAGGGCCCTTACAATATCTAACTTGTCATACATCAGTTCACCGCCAAGTGGTGCAGAGCCAGCCAGAACAAAATGGAAAGATAACATCAGAGACACTCTGCAACAGGATGAGGCATATGGTTGAGGCAGCCGTAAAAGTCAGATGCACAACTTTCAACACCAGACGCGGTAAAGAAGAATAAAAATAAATGGTCCGTGAGAAAGATAGTGATAATTGCACTTGCCTTTGTGTAAACTTTGCAATAACACATACATACACATAAGCACTACAAAAAATTTTGTCAGTCTAGTTTTTTTTTTTTTTCTGGCATATCATAGGACTCAAACCTCAGGCATTCCTCACAACAGACAAATGGACTATTGAAAACCATGAATATAAATTTATTTTAGTTCTGTTTAATTTGTCAAAATAAGATTTGTTATTCAAAAAACTCTACTTGAGCATATTGTTTGCCAAAAAAAATTATTTGAATTTACAAAATAATTTTTTTGTAAAGAAGCTGCATTGGCAGAGTGGCTAGCACAGTTGCCTACTGGGTCAGTGATCATGTAATCGAATTTCCCAGGAAGCAATATTCTTTTCACATTGCCTTGCCTCTCAGTCAGTCCAGACTAAAATGAGTACCATGCCATGTTTTCAGAAGTAAGGGCTGACAGAAGGGCATATCCACACCAGACTAAATTAATAACTAAAATAACTTTTCTGAGTCATGTGCTAAATAAATATTTGTCATAACTTTCCTGGGTCATGTGCTGAATAAATAAATGTCATAACTTTCCTGGGCAATGTGCTAAAAAAAAAATGTCATAATTTTCCTGGGTAATGTGCTAAATAAATAAATGTCATAACTTTCCTGGGTCATGTGCTAAATAAATAAATGTTATAACTTTCTTAGGTCATGTGTTAAATTAATATATGTCATAACTTTCCTGGGTCATGTGCTAAATAAATATATCATAACTTCCTGGGTCATGTGCTAAATAAATAAATGTCATAACTTTCCTGGGTCATGTGCTAAAAAATAAATGTCATAACTCTCCTGGGTCATGTGCTAAATAAATATATGTCATAACTTTCCTGAGTCATGTGCTAAATAAATAAATGTCATAACTTTCCTGGGTCATGTGCTAAATAAATAAATGTCATAATGTTCTTGGGTCATGTGCTAAATAAATAAATGTCGTAACTTTCCTGGGTCATGTGCTATATAAATAAATGTCATAACTTTCCTGGGTCATGTGCTAAATAAATATATGTCATAACTTCCTGGGTCATGTGCTAAATAAATAAATGTCATAACTTTCCTGGGTCATGTGCTAAAGAATAAATGTCATAACTCTCCTGGGTCATGTGCTAAATAAATATATGTCTTAACTTTCCTGAGTCATGTGCTAAATAAATAAATGTCATAACTTTCCTGGGTCATGTGCTAAATAAATAAATGTCATAACTTTCCTGAGTCATGTGCTAAATAAATAAATGTCATAACTTTCCTGGGTCATGTGCTAAATAAATAAATGTCATAATTTTCTTGGGTCATGTGCTAAATAAATAAATGTCATAACTTTCCTGGGTCATGTGCTAAATAAATAAATGTCATAACTTTCCTGTGTCATATGCTAAATTAAAAAATGTCATAACTTCCCTGGGTCATGTGCTAAATAAATAAATGTCATAACTTTCTTGGGTCATGTGCTAAATAAATAAATGTCATAACTTTCCTGGGTCATGTGCTAAATAAATAAATGTCATAACTTGTTGGGTCATGTGCTAAATAAATAAATGTCATAACTTTCCTGGGTCATGTGCTAAAGAATAAATGTCATAACTCTCCTGGGTCATGTGCTAAATAAATATATGTCATAACTTTCCTGGGTCATGTGCTAAATAAATATTTGTCTTAACTTCCTGGGTCATGTGCTAAATAAATAAATGTCATAACTTTCCTGGGTCATGTGCTAAAAAATAAATGTCATAACTCTCCTGGGTCATGTGCTAAATAAATATATGTCATAACTTTCCTGAGTCATGTGCTAAATAAATAAATGTCATAACTTTCCTGGGTCATGGGCTAAATAAATAAATGTCATAATTTTCTTTGGTCATGTGCTAAATAAATAAATGTCATAACTTTCCTGGGACATGTGCTAAATAAATAAATGTCATAACTTTCCTGGGTCATGTACTAAATAAAAAACTGTCATAACTTCCCTGGGTCATGTGCTAAATAAGTAAATGTCATAACTTTCCTGGGTCATGATGTCATTTAATTCTTTTTCTTCTTCTGCGTTCGACATCAGTCATGCTACACATTGAGTCCCGTCTGGGTCAAAAATAGGATTGTGCGTTTAAGGTCGCCACCGGTCCCCCATAGCTTCTCTCGCAATGTGGATCCCCTGGACAAGATCCACAGTCTTTGCTGGGAGAGGTAAGGGCAGTACTGCAGTATGTGCTCAGGGGTCTGTCTTTCTGCACCACAATCACAGGCAGCATATTCTTTTATGCCTATCCTGTACAGGTGTGCTCGAAGACCACAGTGTCCAGTCCGAAGTCTAAAAATTGATGTTTGTTCTTTCCAGTTGAGTTTGTTTACACTGTCACTCTCTGGTCTGTAATCTCTATTCAGCTTTCTCCACTCCCGCTTGAAAGACTGCTTTAGTGCTGTTTTGGTTTCCTTGTAGCTGTGTGGTGGATGAGGTTGTGGAAGATTACTTCCAGCTTTTGCCAACTCATCTGCTCTCTCATTTCCTTGAATACCACAGTGGGCTGGTATCCACTGCAAGACCAGTTCTGCTTCCTTGGAGAGTAAGCCAATGTTGGTCCTTAGATCTGCAATAAGTTTGTCTTGTTTTTTGCTTGACAGTGCTTGGAGAACAGACTGTCAATTAATAACTTGAGTAACTTCTTTTGGTCAGGGGCTACATTAACATCTAAAGTAACTTTCCTGGGTCATGATGTCAATTGAAAACTTGAGTAACTTCCCTGGGTCAGGGGCTAAATTAACATCTAAAGTAACTTTCATGAGTTATTGGGTTATATTACCAACTCAAGCAAATGTTCTGGGTCATGAGCTAAATCAATAATGTAGGTAATTTTCCTGAGCAATTAAATAAATTATTAACTTAACTTTCCTGAGTAGTACATTAATTTAATAAACTGAGTAATTTCTTGAGTCATCAGTTAAATTAATAACTAACATAATTTTGTCAGTCATTATTTAAATTATTAACTAAAATAATTTCTTGAGTCATTTATTAAATTCATAACTAAAGTTATTTTCCTGAGTCGTGAGCTAACTTAATAACTTAAGTAACCGTCATGAGCAAAAATAAAACCTAAGTAACTTACTTAAGTCAGGGACTAGATTATTAACTTGAATATTTTCATGAGTCATCAGTTAAATTAGTAACTAAACTACTTTCCTGGTAACTAAAGTTACTTTAATTGGTTGTCAATTAAATTAATAACTTAAGTAAGATAGTAATACAGCTGTCCAAGACAAAAAAAAAAAGCCAATTGTGAAAATAAATGGCCAGTTGTGAAACTGTTTCACGTTCACTCATCTCTGAAAACAAATGGACATTTTGCCCAGATTTCCCTCCAGTCTGGGGAATAAAGTAAACATATACATAATTGGTAAATCTGAACAGTAAGTTAAAAGATAAAGATCCCTTTCACGCCTTTAGGAGCATCAGGCATATGGGAAGAGCGTCCCATATTTTTACAGACCAATTGGCACTGAATGGGTTATGTGGTCAGCATTGCGCCGGCCGTCTTTACTTCCTCAGGACAGCCATCGCGGTACCCATTCTATGCTGGGTCGTACTGCGACGCCCCATACCATGATAAAAATCCACGCAGCCAGAAGTGGGTTTCAATCGCGGTACATTGGATTACGAGTCGGACTCGCTACGCCCAAGCCACGGACGTCGCGAACAGTAAGTTGAATGCATTCACACACACACAGACACACAAATTAATAAGGAAACTGTTGATCATTAAATGAGATTAATGAAAGAAAATAAAAGAAATATCTGGACAATCATGTGTTTCAAAGATTATACAACAGAGAAGATGGCGATATAATGTGAGCACATTAGGAGAAGAAACACAGCTGTCTTGGTGTAGCGGTTAGACAAGGAAACTAAGACCTTCAAGAGAAACCCAAAGGCGAACGTCGATGAGAGAGACGAAAAGTGATGGATTGGGTTCGATTCATGATATCGAAGTGATTGCACAGGAGATAAGTGAACAGAGGGACTGACCGCGAACCCTGTGTGACGTAAATATTTCAAATTTTGATAAAGTGTCACATTAGAACTGAATGTTTATGTTGAAGTAAATAACATAAAATCATGCAAAGTTTGGGGCCAGTTATAAGGTCCACATTTTTGATAACCAAGTGCATAACTGCATAACCTTAAAATCGAGAAGACCGGTGTCCCATTTAACTTGGTCTTGATCCATAGAAAGGCCAGCCGCCTGCCGAAAGTGTAGCATGAAGAATTCCTTAGCTCCAGCAACGATCGCCAGAGGAAACACAAAGTTTATATACTGCTACAGTTGGGACACATAGTAACAGAGACAAAAACTTAATATGTATTGACAGGTGGTAGACTACAAGACAGATCAAGAAGACAGCGGAGAGATAATAAAGTGGAAACAGTAGGCCAATTAAATGTTTAATTAAGATTGGCATCATAGCACTCGGGCCACTCCCAAAAGCGCTCCGTCCCTGCCTCCCCCATCTTTAGCAGCAAAAGAAGAGTTCCTATTCCGATGACACCAGTAACTGTCTGATTGTATATTTGTCTCGCCTTTTCCCTGAGTGTTGAGCTTCAGCCAGATCCCCTGGCAACTCCTCGCAGCGTCATTCTCCTCAGACTATAATGATATATTTATGCTTCTGCACTGTTCACTCGCTGATTGTCAAGCGGATGACGTCAGCACCGTGCCCTTAACTGGAGAGGGGCGTTGTTTGGACACTGAAGCCCGTGGGGGCGGGGGTAGCAACAGCCGAATATGATGATTTTCAAGAGTAGCAGCGGAGAGGAAAACAGTCAGTGGGACATCATGATATTGCCGGTCCAATTGTATTCAAAAAAATTAAGTTTCTTCTTCTTCATTCACCCTTAAAATGACTGTTGTGGTTTACAGTTAGGCTGCGATTTTTGCGCCTTTCTGCCCAACATAGCTGATTTCTGCAAACACCTAATAAGTCGCCATATACGACATGCTTAATGTAGGTCTAACCCACCTCCCAAATGGGGTCCACAAGAAGAAGAAGAAGTAATGGGCCGTACTTACACAGTTCAGGCATTTTTTCCGAAGCACCTGAATAGTTGCTGGGAACGTAACGCAGCTTCCTAGCTGGCCCACTAGACCTCACACAGTAGTCACCAAGTGTTGGTTTGATTCCAAATCTCTTGGGATTGGAGAGTCGTTCCAATCGACGATGCTCCAAGTGTTCGTTGATAACTGTCTGTGCCTGATGGCAGTAATAAGATAGGGATAACTATCTGTGCCTTAAGATAGTAACAAAACAGTGATAACTGTTTGTGCCTGATGGCAGTAATAGGATGTGGATAATTATCTGTGCCTGATGGCAGAAACAAAACAGGAATAACTATTTGTGCCTAAAGATAGTAACAAAACAGGGATAACTGTGTCTGATGGCAGTAACAAAACAAGGATAACTATCTGTACCTAACGACAGTAACAACACAGAGATAAATGTCTGTGCCTGTAGATAGTAACAAAACAGGGATAACTGTCTGGGCCTTGTGGCAGTAACAAAAGCAGGGATAACTATATGTGCCTGAAGATAGTAACCAAACAGGGATAACAATGTGAAAAACATAACACACACATAAAACAGGGGTAACTGTTTGTTTGCAAGTAACAGAAACATGGATAAGTTTATGTGCCTGACAGCAGTAACAAAAACATGGGTAACTGTCTGTGCTTGAATAAAAAAAAAAAAAAAAACACAGAGGTAACTGTTTGTGCCCGAATAGTCGTTCTGGGTCTGAACTATATTAAATACAGGTAATGGTAGAAGAATAGGTCGTCTGTGATAAGGAAAACGATCAAACACAGATGCTACTGAATAACTATGAAATGCCGGTAAATGGTTTGGAAGGCTGAACACACACACACACACACACACAGGCACGCACACACACATACACACAAGCAAGCTAAACATCAATATCCTACAAAACATGGGTATCCTACATGATTTGAACATCGATGAGAACTGACTCATAAACAGTGCCTGTCCCGAAACTCTTTGTATTTCGGTCACGTTAAACGCCATTCTGGACTGGAGAGAGAGAAAAAAAAACCCGATGGAGGGTACAGTTCCAAAAAAAAAAGGCAGAGGCCGACCTCCACCTGTGTGGATACCAGAAATTAAGATTCTTTAGCTATGAAAGCACATAGGGCTGGAGAACTGATCAGAGAAGGTTAGACTTTGGAGCTTGTCGTGACTAGGGCGAGGTTCTGTAAAGAACCTGCTGAATGATGATGATGGTTTAAAAAAACTGCGACTTGCAATCTATCATCATCATCTAGTGCCAGTTGGTCAGTAACAACGTAGAACTATTGTATTATCCCTGCTTGGTCTGGATTTTATATTACTTCATATCTGTCAGGGGCCCCTAACGATTGAACGGAGCTTACTAGGATTTATATATGTAGGATTCTCATCCTAGATGTCTTAACCCTGCCAGCTGCAATCCTGCAGGGAACACACTGCAGTGCAACGATCTCTTAGCTTATCATCCATTGTAATGAATAGGAAGCTGTGATGGCATAGTCGCTAGACGCTCGCCTGCCCGTCCGAAGGTCTTTAGTTAGAATCTACATCGATTCAGCTTTTTGTAATGACCTTAGCTCCAAGTGACTCTGCCAGAAAGGTACTTAGTAAAGTCAAGGAAGGTAAAGGTGGTTGGCGTGGTGCTGACCACATAACCCATCGAGTGCCGTTTGGTCTTTATAAAATTATGAGTATAGCATCATGTGTTCGATGACCTACTGTCCTTTATTGTGCTTGCAGTGAATACGTTACTATTAGTTACAATTGTTAACACAATCTTACCCGCAAAACTGATCTGCCAGATAGTAGGTCTCTCTGTGAAAGAAAATAGAGAAACATGTGCCAGGATGTCATGTTTAAAAAACAAGAGAGTCCAATTATTGTACTAGGTTCTAACTAAACGAAAGCGCCCCCCCCCCCCCCCCACCAGGTTCCTAAGCTGCCAGGATCCTTCGTGCCCTTTAGCCACGAAAGGTGGCGAAAATATATCAGACCACAAAAATAAGCGGAGACTGCTTACAGCTTCGGCTAGCAAACAGCAGGCTAGCAGCTATTTTTTTTAACGGAATCGGAGGTTTCTTTCGCGCGTGGTGCACAAGGCGAAGGAGAAGAAGTGTGAATGCTATTTACTGATTCAGAGTAGAAACTACGAATTTAGGATTTTGAAGCATGTCCATACAAACATGAAACGATAACTGCTTGTTTTGCTGCCCATGGGAGTGCTGTTATCCCCATACCATTGCATTGGTACTACCTTTTATTTGGAGTGAGCAAAGCAGGCCGAGTGAAGAAACGCGCCGCATAGACAACACACGGGTAACACAGTACGGCGTAAGATTTGTGCTGTGGGTCTTGCTAACCACACTTGCCATTGCCATCGGCTGTGTTAGCCCTCACCCCGCCCACCGCATCTGCGTCATAGTTATGGCAGTACTTCCCGGTTGGTACGCTGGACTTATCCCTAGTCATCATCATCATCATCAGGTGCCTTGCCGACTGGCGTGGGCGATCATGCCTCTCCATAATCCGCGATCTCCTGCAGCATGTATCAGTTCGTGTGCCGACACACCTCCATGCCATGCAACAAGACTGTCAAGCATCTTCTCTCGTTGTCTTCCTCTATCCCTCCTTCCACAGATCTTTCCAGTGGTCACAACATGTTCTATTTTCCTTCTTCTCATAACATGGCCGAAAAATGATGACTGTCTCCTTCTGATGTCAGTGATAAGTTGTCTTCGGTCTCCCGCCTCTTTTAAAACCTCTTGGTTGCTCTTTTTGGCTGTCCAAGGTATTCTAAGCATTTTTCTGTAAAACCACATCTCTGAGGCCTCCAAAAATTGTTTGGCCTGCCTACCGATTGTCCAGGATTCACATCCATATGTTAAAACTGGATGTATGTAGCAAGCAAGAATTCTTTTTCTAACTCTCAATGACAAGGATATATTGCACAAGATGTTTTTCATTTTATAAAATGCAGTTTTTGCCTGTCCAATTCTGTTTCTTATTTCAGTTATGTATCTTCCATCTGACGTTATCCATGTGCCCAGATACTTAAATTTCTGTACTTGTCTTAAAATAACACCATTGACTTTTATTACACATTTAGGAATAATTTGTTTCTTTGATACCACCATTACTTCTGTCTTCCCATTATTCAAACTGAGGCCCATTCTTCCACTTTCTAACACCATAATGTCTATCATTTCCTGTAATTCTTTCTGACTTGTTGCTATCAAGACTGTGTCATCAGCATAACGTAAATTGTTTATATTGTGCCCACCAACCACGATTCCGGGCATATCAATTAAAGATCTCATAATATATTCACTGTATATTGAAAACAAATCAGGTGAAAGTACACATCCTTGTCGTACGCCCCTCTTTATGCTTTGAAATGTACCTAAACAGTTGTTAATTCTTATAGCTGCTGTTTGCTGCCAATACATATTCTTTATTATTCTTAGATCTTTCCCATCAATGTTTAATTTTTCTAACAGTTTGATTACTTCTCCATGCTTCACACAGTCAAATGCTTTTGAATAGTCTATGAAGCATAAGTACAAATCAGTCTTTACTTCTATAGCTCTTTCTGACAATGTCCTTAGGATGTATATGGCATTGTTTGTACCTTTTCCTTCTACAAATCCACATTGTTCATCGCTGATTTCTGGTTTAATGTTGTTTCTTATTCTTTTCATAATTATTCTCAGTAAAATCTTAGTCATGTGACTCATAAGACTTATTGTGCGATGGTCTTCACATTTTAAAGTGCCTGGTTTCTTCGGCAGAGCTATAAATATGGATTTTAAAAGGTCATTTGGAATATACCCACTGTTATAAATATCATTTAAAAGTTTAGTTATTATTTCAATTCCAAAATTTCCCAGTGCTTCGATTTCTTCCAGTGAGATGTTGTCTGGCCCGGGTGTTTTTCCTTTCTTCATATGATGTATTGCATCCTCAACTTCTGCAGTCATTATTGGTGGACCATCATTGTTGTTCTGCAGTTCTACTTCTGGTCTATTATCATCATACAATTCCCCTATATACTCTGTCCATCTGTTAATTATATTACTATGTCCCATTAATAAGTCACCATCCTTTGATATCAAACATCCTAGTATCCCTAGTACCATCTGGGAATTCGATGTACACTCCAGCGCCGCCATTTCTAACTGCACTTTGTGCGGACCCATCTGTATAGACTCTGATCCATTGTTCTTATGGGTATTCTTCATCAATATAACTGAGGGTGGCCATTCTGCGTTGTACACTATCTTGCACTTTCTTGTCAAATATCCCTTTCACATTTGTCTGGATTTGTACTGTTAGTTTGCATTTGTCTCTCCATGTGGTTTGCTCTTGGATACTATTAAGTGGACAACCAATTTCTGGTAGGTCAGTAGTTTGTCTACATATTCTTTTTGCTTGGTGTATAAAGCTGCTTCTTTTTTAACCGTCCCAAGGCTAGGTTCTGAAATCTATTTTTCATCGGGTGATCTGGCATACTGGGGATCTTTTCAGCTTGTATTTGCAACTTTGTATCTCTGCGTTCTCTCAGTGCCTGTGTTTTCCCAGCTTTCTCCATTTCTAATACGGGGGTTGATTTCATCCCTCCTGTGATGACTCTGAGCGCTTGATTTTGCACTTTGTCCCACTCTTTTAATGTGGTAATAGATGCTGAACACAATGCAGTTGACCTATATTCCAAGTGTGGTTGTATGCTCTACTTTTATACTTTATTGAGTATTTTCCCATCGGCTCCCCATGTGGTTCCACTTAGTTTTCTCAGTATGGCTTTCTTCCTCCTGGCTTTGGTTGCTGCCTTGTTGATATGTTTTCTCCATGTCAACCTGTCATCAAATGTGACTCCGAGATACGTGGGCTCCTTATTATCTTTTCTTTAGCCACGCCATCGTAGTGGGTAATGGACAGACAGACAGACTGGCTGGTTCTGCATCATTGGGTGGTGAATTTATACATGACAAGGCAGATATGGTAAAGGCTCTTTGGGAACAAGCAACGGAATCAGTTGAGAAACACGATTATTATGGTCTTGGAAGAATAAGGCACAAGGGTGTAACCAGGGGGTCTGGCGGTCTCACTACACTCAGAGGAAAGACAAGACAGACATGAAACCAGATTGTGACCGCTACTATCAGTATTGGACCTCTGTTTTGGGAATGCCCCGAGTGATGTGATGTCAATTATTGATTCAACTGAACTCAGCGGTTAAGTTATTTACACTTGATTTTTATTTGGTTATATCCTGTATAAAACCTTTGATATTGTCTAAAAAATCCAGTCCGGCATCTATAATCTCTCACATTAGCATTCTTGGTAGAGTATTCATTGTACGTCCTGGCTTCCTTGGTCCATTTGTTTCCATTCTCATTGCATGAAGTGTACCTTTTTATTAAATAGACTATAGTTTCTGTAGCAAGAGGGTTGTTTTGCGATATGACAAAACGTCTCTTGCCTCATCCCGACATGGAGCCGACAACGGCAGAGAATTTACAAGCATGGATGAAAGCAAACAATAAGCTCAATGGCTAATTAAATTTGTCAGTCTTACTCCCTGTGCACTGTCAAACAAGCCTTCATCAGCAAGTATTTCAGTTAACCGGAGATTATTCTTCACCGCCCTTGAAGCGGTTGTCCTTTGGTATGCGGGCAAGCATTTTTGGTGAAGATAATATGGCGTGATTACGTCAAAATCTGGTAGTGTTCGCTTTAACCTGCAAATTAAATGAATGGATTGTTGTAAAGTAGTTGTAATTATTTGTTAGAATGATGACGATGATTTTAGGGGTGTTGGTATGTATGTGTTCGCGTGTTTGTGTGTGTGTGTGTGCGCGCGCGCGTGTAGGTGTGTATGTATGTGTGTAATTTGGTTGTAAATTCAGTGGTAAAGTTGTAAAATAAATAAGCAGCGGCTCTTTACTAACGGCTTCATCATAAATATGCAAAAATTAAACAGTTTATGCTTCGTAATTGGCATGTACTTGTTCAATTGAAGGTTATCATTAGTATTTACGTTGTTGTTATAGAATGCATCAAGAACAGCCTCAAAGGAAGAAGAAAAAAAAAGATCAACTAATGTAGCGCCTTAGAAGAACGCACAGAAGGTCCATGTATCTACACTCAACACTCCAATGGGGTGACTGGGTAAAGATGGGAGGGGGTAGGGTGAAAGCGGATTATTATTATCATCACCATCATCATTACTGAAAGGCATAGAAGCTAGATGCTGGCTTGCGGGCCCAAATGTCTGGTTCAGATCTACACTGAGCCATACTTTTTTTTAACGACCTTAGGTCCCAGGTCGACCCAGCCTAAAATGTGTATAGTGCAGACATGGTCGCGATAATTCATCGGGGACCGAAGAAATGGTTCTTCTTATCATAAACTCTCCCTATCCAGATGAGAGCTGTAGCCAGCGATAAACAAACTGTTCTTCACTAACATTCGACACATCCGAGATCGTCTTAAGCGATCTGTACTGCACCAGGCAAAGTCCTGAGAAGTCAAGGAGACCAGCATGATGTTGACTAAACCACCTGTTAGCAGAGCATACTTCCACACTTGGAATATGGGTCAACTGTATGGTGTTCAGCATCTAGTACCACATTAAAGGAGTTGAACACAGTGCAAAATCAAGCGCTCAGAGTCATCACAGGAGGGATGAAATCAAACCCCATATTAGAAATGGAGAAAGCTGGGAAAACACAGGCACTGAGAGAACGCAGAGATACAAAGTTGCAAATACAAGCTGAAAAGTTCCTCAGTATGCCAAATCACCCGATGGAAAATAGATTTAAGAACCTAGCCTTGGGACGGTTAAAAATAAGCAGCTTTATACACCAAGCTAAAAGAATATGTAGACAAACTCCTGACCTTCCAGAAATTGGTTGCCCACTTAAAAGTATTCCGGAACAAACTTCATGGAGAGAAAAATGTAAACTAACGGTACAAATCCAGACAAATGTGAAAGGGATATTTGACAAGAAAGAGCAAGATAGTGTACAACGCAGAATGGCCACCCTCAGTTATACTGATGAAGAATACCCACAAGAACAATGGGTCAGAGTCTATACAGATGGGTCCGCAGAAAGTGCAGTTAGAAATGGTGGCGCTGAAGTATACACAGAATTCCCAGATGGTACAAGGGATAAGTCCAGCGTACCAACCGGGAAGTACTGCCATAACTATGATGCAGAAACCCAGGCTATCAAGATAGCTACAGAGAAACTGTTAAATACCAACCTTGGCTCACAGTTTGTGGTAATGCTGACAGATGCTAAATCAGTACTTGAAGCACTCCAGTCTAGGAAACTACCAGAATTGCAAATACTGCTGACACAACTCAGCGTTCAGCGAAGAGTCGTAATGCAGTGGATACCGTCTCATTGTGGAGTGCCTGGAAATGAGAAAGCTGATAAACTGGCAGGGGAAGGTGCGACAAAAGAGCAGCCGGATGTACCAGTCACAAACCACCAAAAGAAAAGAATAATTAAATCGATCAGGAAACCACCAGCCCCAGCATAAGACGACTATTTTATTAAGGACAGACCAGAACAAGTCATTATCCTCCGCCTCAGAACAGAGCACAACCGATTACGTAACCACATGTACACAAAATTCAAGATAGGTGTATCAGCCATGTGCACCTGTGGAAATGTGCCCCAGACAGCAGAGCATGTACTCCAGGACTGCGCTGATTTTGACACATTAAGGTAAACCTTTTGGCCAGAAAGAACAACAGTGAAACGTAAACTCTATGGGCCACTGAGTGAACTAACGACAGTGAAATTTATACAAGGGACAAAACTGCTGATATAGACAACTTATTTCAGGCGAACGAAAGAAGAAGAAGACTAAACCACCCACCGAATGCTAATTGGGGGTTACTTTGTATTATTATTATTGTTATTATCGTTGTTGTTGTTGCTGCTGCTGCTGTTGTTATTGTTGTTGTGTCAGAAGTTGGAAAGCAAACAATTGTATTCCAGCTCTTCCTATCGGTGTTGATCGGGTTCATGTTGACAACAAAATACTTGAAACTCGAGGCAGAAACCACAATCCTGCGCCAGCCTATTATGTTGTATTCTTATTCTTCTTCTTCTTCCTCGCGTTCACCAGCTGTAAACTCTGGCGGAAGGTTCTAGTTGTTTGTGCACTTCTGGATTGCAGTCCTGTTCCAGAACCGGAGTGTTGTCTGCGTTGTATAAAAAACATCATTTTAGCGTCCCAGCATAAGTTCCTCAAATGTCGTTCACGTACCGACAATGCGCTCTCCCGCGGGGTGACTGATCATGGAGAGCTGAAAGAAAACTGACTCCTAGTTTACCCTGTAGATAGTACTTTGGTAATATAATCTGGTAATAGGTTGGAAGAAACGTCTCTACAATATTATCACTGTAATCTGGAAACATGGGGGCTTCGGCAGTATCCCCAACCTCCATATTTTTTAGAGGATCCTCAGCCCGCCTCCTTCCCCAAATTTGTAAAGAGAGCTGAGCTGTGCTCTCCCCCCCCCCCCCCCCTTTCCCCCCCCCCCCACCCACCACCATGATAAATGTTATTTGTTTACATTTTTGTTTATACATATAATATTATTTCAAATGTACGATTATATTTATTTCTCATTGATCAAATTATTGATGTTTTAATTATTATTATTATTATTATTATTATTATTATTATTATTATTTTTCATTATTATTATTAGATTTTTTTCTGGCGGTACGAAACGGCACGCAGTCTCGGCACCATTCTAAACTTCTTTTTTTTTTTTTTTTTTTTGCGCTGCTGTAATTGAACTTTGTGGTGTGTATCTGCACCTGTTTTTCTACAAGAAAAAAACGGGATTATTATTATTATCATCATCATTATTTAGTACTTGAAGAAAGCTTATTTCCCTGGAAGTCTCCTCTACAAAATGTATAAGGGCCCCCCACCTCCTCCCCGCCGTGTTTGTGTCAACGCTTCTGTTCTCAACTGTGTCAGCCCTTTCTTTGATCTAAAACGATCCGACGTCAGTGAGTTGCATTTAAGAGTTAAACACCTATGATTCTTGACACGGAGGAACGGAAAGTCGGACACACAACCATGTCGCCATTATTACTGAAACGCTGTACTAGCTGCTGAAGATGAGGACGGGGTGGTTATGGGAGTGTCCCGGATGTTGTGATGTGTGTTATGAACTCGACTTTCAGGGGATTCCACAAACATTACTCAACCAATTTAACGTGGAATGTCAAGAAATGAGAGTTTAACGGTTAACAAATAAAAAAGCTCTATCCACCAACTTTTTATTGGTAAGGTTTTCATACAACGTTTCTAGAAGTCGAACGGCTGCACCCTCTTTACAGTGAATTGTTCCGTTTATTATTTCCATCTCCAGGTCAATGTCAGTTTTTAGAAAAAACTGAAAAAAGATAGCATGATCTATTAAAGTGTTCGGGTGATTTTCAAAATACTAATTAAACAGCTCTTCATTCATTCATTCTTTTGTTCGTTCATTCAATCTTTCATTCATTCTTTCTTTCTTTCTTTCTTTCTTTTCTCCCCTCTCTTCTCCCTCTTCTCTTCTTGTTCTTGTTCTTCTCCTCCTCCCCCCCCCCCCCCTTTTCCTCAAATAGCTGAAGAGTTACAGGCAACAGTAGATAAGGTTATTGACTGGTGTACAGAGATGAGTGCTGTAATAACCCAGAAAAGGCAACTGCCTTGTGGTGTTCTTTGGACAACAACATTGTTAGAGCTGATGTTCCGAGACTCAAAATAAATGGCAGGGACAACAAAAGAGACAACAGACTGCGGTACCTTGGAATCACCTTAGACATAAGTTTGTCTCTCAGGGATCACATAGAGGGGGTTGTGACAAGGGCTCAAAAAGGTCTAATCGCACTAAAGATTATGGCAGCGATGGACATGGAGCAGAGAATGCTGTTCACACTTTACCAGCACTTAATCATCTCAGTGATTGCTTATGGATTGGGGTTACTCACTGTCTCGAAGAGTCAGCTAGAGAAACTGGAGCGCATACAGAATGAAGCTATGCGGATAATACTTGGTTGTACAAGAAATACCCCGATTGTGTGCATGTGATACATCCTTGCATTGCCGACTATTGCATAGGCTAAAGGTGCTGCAGGCTAAGTCATACTTCAGAGTAGATGCGCTTTGGCTGCAGGCAAGGGTCAGAGGCTGAAAAGGGGAAAATCGTGGATGTCTTAAGCAGAATACACAATAAGACAAGTATGCATGCTAGAGAACATTGGGCGAGGAGAGGAGTGGGTCAGAGTACCAGCGGGAAAGTCTGACCCCGTGTAGGGTCATGATAACATTGGGCCGGGTGTGCAGAGAGTGGCCAGCGGGTGCTACAAAGGTTGAAGTCCAATAGTTGATTCACGACAATTCACGCCCAGGTGATCTGATTATCTATCTATACAGATGGTTCAGTGTTGAGAGGAAAGAGAGGTACCTTGGGGGTCCTAGCGAAAGCCAATGGAAAATTTTTAGTGCAAGACAGCCTAGCATATGACAACACAACATATAGCATGAGAATTGACGTGGAGGCGGTAACTGCAGCTCTCCGGTGGCTAGAGAACAAGATGCATACACATGTCGTAATTGTAACAGACTCTGAAAGCAAGCTGAAAAAGGTGAGGACAGGGATGCTTCGAGCAGAGTGGCAAGCTTTACTGGGCACGGGTGGTGAGCATACTTTGGATCTTTTCTCCTGGCAATGCCAGCGTGGTGGGTAATGAACAGGTAGACAGATTGGCTGGATCTGCACCACTAGGTGGTACATTTATACATGACAAGGCAGATGTGGACAAGGCCCCTTGGGAACAAGCAACGGAATTAGTAGAGACAGAAGATTATTATGGCCTGGTGAGAATGAGGCACCTGGGTGTGACCAGAGGGTCTGGCCGGCTCATTACACTCAGAAGAAAGGCAAGACGGAATTTTAACCAGATTGTGACAGGTACCATCAGTACTGGAACGCTGCGCTGGTTGCTGAAGATGGGAATGCCCAGAGTGCTGTGATGTCGATTCTTGACTCAACTTAACTCTATAAATGAACAAGTTTAGCGCTATATGCCCAATGCTTCAGACGCGTGAAAAGAGTCCTTTTATTTGAACTTACTGTTCCCCGTGTGGGTTCCGGGATCCTATTATAGGGTAAAAAGAATAGAACCACTGCCTACCCAAACGTATTTCGTAAGAGTCGACTAATTGGGAGCTTCCTTCGAAGTCGAAGTGCATCTGCAAACAAATGAGTCAGATCTGTAAAACGGATGCACACGTAAGACTCAGGTTCTGGAACAGGGCTGCAGTCCAAGAGTGGATGAACAGCCAGAACTTTCTGCCAGAGATTACAGCTGGTGAATACGAAGAAGAAGAAGAACATACTGTTAGTTAGTCTTTCCTCTTGAGCCTAGGGCAGCTTATAGGGCAGATGTCATAGCTCTTCATGTCTTGCGGTTCGTTGCCACTTGCTTTAGGAATTGGATGTTTGTTAGGCCCATGGCTGAGCCGTCACTGATAACGGTTCCACGTATAGTCTCTCTTGGTCTTCCCTGTTTTTTCCTTTCGGTGTCTATATGAGGGCTAGATGGGGTGGAGTTTGGTGGGGGGGGGGGGGGTCTTGTCTTGTCCATTTTGAGAGCATGGCCGATATAGTTCTAGGGGCGCTTCCTTGTAAAATTGGATACACTGTCTTTGGTCGCTTGCTTTATTTACGTATTGAATCTGAAAACCTTTACTACTACTACTACTACTACTACTACTACTACTACTACTACTACTACACACACACACACACACACATATATATATATATATATATATATATATATATATATATATATATATATATATAAAATAAAATCTTAGCAAACTATGAGCTTACGTTTTTTAAAATAAACCAGTTTTGCTTCTTCGTCGCAAAGGAACATCCGTTGTAAAATGAATGAATCAGGATCTGTTGTGGGAAGTAGCGAGACAGAATTTCTGCAATAACGTAGCCGTTCGAAAGATCCCTGGGGAAAAAATGAAGGGTATTTGAATTTTAGACGACTTCCATTTCGTCGGCTTCGAGATTTGGTACGGCAATCCCCAGATCATCCCTTGGTATAGGTAAAAAAAAAAGGGGGGGGGGGAGGGGGTTTGGGTTAAAATTAGTAGTAGTCGCTATTCATATAACTCTAATCCTAACCTTCCCCCCCCCCCCCTTTTCCACCTCCATAATATGGGACTGTCCATTGAAATCCGTATGAATTCCCTAAGAAATCTCGAAGCCAAAGAGATGGGGTTGTCTAAAATTAAAGTACCATAAAAAGTAGTTACTTATTTAAAACACACCATGTCTTTCGCTACATAACATGTCTTATATTAACTATTTTTGTTCAAAGAATTTAAAACTTTACTAATTAACGACGGACGTAATTTTAAGTGATCAACAACATTAACCAAAGAACATCTGAAAAGACTAAGCGCTTGTGAAACGAGGTGTAGGAGAAAGAATGCTAGCAAAATCAGAAGAGATCATGTGAGAAATGAAGATATTAGAAGAACGGCTGGAACACTATCCATCATTAAATTTATTACCAAACAAAGATTCAAATGGTTCGGTCACCTAGTAAGAATGACTCCGACGATGCAGGCAGAGAGAGCGTACGGCATGAAAATGCAAACACCAAGAGGCAGATGAAAACTTAGAAGATGAGCTGAAGCATTCCTGTTTCGGCTACCTATGACATAAAAGTACATACTGACAGAATAAGAAAGAAGTAATAAACGGTTGAGCGCACGGAGGTAAAATAACAGTATTACGCAACGTGATGATTAAAAGTTTAAAAAAAAAAAGAACAGATGACTATAACAGCTGGGTGGGTCATAGAATGTTCACAAATGTTTATTATTGCGACAGTTAGAACTCTCAAACGCAAAGTGTGTTGTTTGGTATAGAATGAGATAATCAAGTGTCAAAATACGGTTAACTTCCATTATTTGGGCCAAAGATTAATGGTTAAAGTGGAGATGATCGACTTCTTTGCTACGGGTTTTATTCCTAATGACTCACTCTCTCGCCACTGAACGACTAGCCGCTTGCCAAGAGCGCCACACAGATCCCGAACTCTGTAGCTTCGGCGACGACCCAAGGAATCTCTGTAAAAACTTCATTCGTGAACTGAAGGTGCGCAGCCGTGAACGAACCCATGACCTTCAGAGCACAAGGCAAACGGCTTGACCTCTTTGCCACGGAGACCCCAGAGGATGTAATTATCATGAAAAAAAAATTCAAAGTCCAAAAAATACGACTCCAGTCATCATGTCTGCTCAAAACTGTTGTCCACGTGACAGCATCGTGATGATACCAAACTGGCAAGCAGTAAACCCAAGGCTATTTTTTTCTTAGGCTCAACCACTGTGATAGACGCCTTGTGGTGCACACCGGCACCTTTTAATGGACAGCTTGTGGACTTCTTCGTCTTCTTCTTTCGCTTGAAATAAATTATCTGTATCTGCAATGTTGTCTCTAGTATGAGCTTCACTGTCTTTTGTAATTCACTCAGCGATCCGTAAAGTTTGACTTGCACTGATGTTTCTTTTGGCCAAATGTTTTGCTTTGATATGTTGTATTTGAAACAGTCTTAGAAGACATTATATGTTGTCTCAGGTGCCAATCCACATGTGCACATGGCTGATTCGTCGATTTTAAATTCTGTGTATTAGTGAAGAACTGAGTGAAGAATTTAGCGTGAGAAGATAAATAACAGCATTACGCAACGTGATGAGGAAAAGTTTAAAAAGAACAGCTGACTGTAAGAACTGGGTGGGTCACTGAATGTCCACAAATGTTTATTGTGAGACTGACATACATGGTTAAGTATTTGGAGTCGCAGGGGTATCAAACCTGCTGGCAGCAGATAGCAGTTCGGAGAGTTGAAACTCATTGAAAGTCAATTAGTCTATAAGAACACATTGTATTTAAACACACAAATTATCTGATAATTACCATTTTGGATTTTTTATCTGGCTGTCAAGATCTAGACTTTGCAGCCATTTCAAAACATCTCTGGACAAGCTAGTCATAATATTAAGAGAGATTGTTTATCCATATGCAAAACAGCTTCTGTAAAGTCGTCAGTAAACAGTTTACACTGTTGCCATAGCAACATAAATACAGTAAATTAAAAACTACAAAGCATTTGTGGCATTCCAAACGATAAAAATGTTTTGACCTATACAGTATAAGTATAAGAAATGCAGCAAGGAAAACAAAAACAGACAGTCACCAACAAAGAACTAAGAAAAATGGTAGGCACAGTACTTGGGAATGATTTCATTGAGCATCAAAGAATCAAATGATTTGGTCATCGTGTGAGGTGGCGAAACATGACCACCAATGCTTATCGGCAGGGAACATCATGGCCATCATCTCGATGTTGTTGTCGATGATGATGATGGCGACAATGAAAATTCTTCTTCTGCAGCATTGCGAGCCCTTGAGATTCATTGCTGTAGATATCCCCAGCCTCCATTCATATCTCTGGCTGGCCTTCTCTTTCCACTTGGTAACATCAAGTGTTTGCAGGTCTTTCTGGATATTATCTCTCCGTCGTCTTCTTGGTCTACGGGTTTTCTCACCATTGCTCTTCCTTACTTACATGGATAGAATTACATAAATTAATTTCTGGCAAATACAGATACTGAAGAAATCGACGAACCTCTTTTAGCAGACGATCAGTGTCTAACACATTACCATCCACTGTGCGTGGAGTCACCTTTATTTTTGTTCCGGGACACGCAGGCGTCGATGGAAATGAAAGAGCTGACTGACAGGTTGGCTGGATCCGCTATCACTACCGACGGTCAGCCTATGGATCATGCTGATATTATCAATGCCCTCAGAGAAATGGAAAGGATAGAGGACTTTGGTGGCAGTGAATCCACATCACTCGCCAGAATGGAAGACTTGGGAATTAAGATCGGCACAGCAAAAAACGAGACGCACACCAGACACGCCAGAAGACTTGTTAAACAACATAGAACTGGTACTATTAGCCATCGGACGTTGGGGTTCATACTGAGGGGAGGATCTGAGCACCTATGGACATGTCCGGAGTGCAATGAGGATAACCCAACTAACTAACTAACTAACTAACTAACATTACCATCAACCGAAATTACGACACCACATTGATAACTTACATAAAAACTGCACAAGGTAGGATATGGAAATAAACACATCGAAAACTGAGGTAACGAGAATATGCAAGAAACAACATGCACGTTTATGTCAATGGTACTACAATCAAACAAGTAGACCTACGAGTATTTAAATATCGGGGAAGCATGTTTACAGAAAGCTGGCAAACTTGATAGATATAGAAGCCAGATGGCAGAAGACAAATGCTGTCACCTACCAGTTAGCCTCAGTGCTTAGATACCCAAACGTCTGCCTTCCAGCAAAACGGCAAATGATTAATAGCATCTTCATCCTTACTTTATGCTACCAGTGCCAAACATGGACAATGTATAAGGCACTATTTAAAAAAAAAAGTTACCTGTTGTGAAATGTGCAGTCTCCGTAAGGTCATTAACAACACAAAAGAGGACAGGGTTACTACGAATATCAGCATTCTAAAGAACGTTGGCATAATACCGATTCTATATTACATTGACAGACAAAGAATGACAAGTTCGGCCATCTAGTGAGAATGCAGCCAGACCAAACTGCATACAATATTTTTTTTTTTTTTAACATCAGAAGAGCAGGTACGAGGGCGAGGGGAAGACCAAGAAAGAGATACATGCTGAAGCTGAAACTTAAAAAAAAAAAGATGAACAAATCCACCTATACAGAAGCTCAAAACAAATTAAAAAAACCACATCACTGTGCTACATACATTGTTATCAGTAAAGCTAGATGCTAGGTAGAGAGGATAGCAGATACTGAATCACTCGAACTCAGAAGACAATACAAAACCCTTTTACAGTATGAGAAATCAAAAAGACTTGAAAGTCATCCACTGCATTTTAAATTTCAAGAGAGAACAAAAAAAACAGACTGAAGCGTCAGAGCCCCAACGACCTTGCTAGAGAACTGCACAGACAGAACCGAGATCTGCTTGAAAGTGATGTAGCACTGTGCGAAAAACTTAGGCCAGAACCATGGACAAGCAAGCCAGAGAAGGCAAATGTAGTCCTAACAGTACCAGGGATCACTTCAAAAGATGCCCAGACGGAGACGCAACAGAGAACCCTGGCTCTTGCTATGCTTGATGAGAAGTATCCAAACACCACTTGGACTCAGGTTTTCACCGACGGCTCTGCTACAGAAGCAGCCAGAAAGGGGGTGTGGAATATACATTAATTGGGCTCTCCTATAAATAACGGTCGCCAGCTGGAAGGCGACGGTCGCTTAGTCGGAGTTCATTCCCTTGGCTGCAGTGCAATTACGGAGCTGACAAGTCACGAATCAAAACACAAAGTGACGTCGACATGGCTGCTAAAGCTAGACCACGCGCTGCGACTGACATTAGCGACAGCGGTCTTGCGACACAAGACTCTCGTAGTCCACGCGCTGCGACTCAAATTAGCGACCGCGTTCTTCCGACGCAAGCCTTAGTGACCGTAGATGTGAGACCTGCGGATCTGTATGTCGTAATGAGCGATAAGCTTGCGTGGTTTTCGGGATGTGTTACCCTAACCCTACACTAACCCTACCCCAAACCCTAAGCCTAACCCTAGAATGACAGATAACTATCTCACTTTGTTTCGTTCCCTCTTTTCCACTCCGTAATTGCGTTGTAGCCAGGGGACTGAACTCCGACTAAGCGGCCGTCGCCTTCCAGCTAGCGACCGTTATTTTAAGGAGAGCCCAAAATTGTTATACTTAGTGACTCATTGTCTGTTCTTAAAGCACTATCAAGCAAAAAACAAGACAAACTAATTGCAGATCCGAGGACCAACATTGGCTTACTCTCCAAGGAAGCAGAACTGATCTTGCAGTGGATACCAGCCCACTGTGCTATTCAAGGAAATGAGAGAGCAGATGAGTTGGCAAAAGCTGGGAGTAATCTTCCACAACCTCATCCACCACACAGCTACAAGGAAACCAAAACATCGCTAAAGCAGTCTTTCTCTTTTTAAAATTAATATCATGAATGGGTCAAGTAGAAAGCAAATGATGTCACTGGTGGCACAGGATTTTTTTTTTTAAAAAGTGAATATCGCAGTATGTGTACATAGTTTTATTCTAATACACGCAACCAAGCGTTAAAAAAAAAAAAAAGCAGTCTTTCAAGCGGGAGTGGCGAAAAGCAGAATGGAGATTACAGACCAGAGAGTGACAGCATAAACAAACTCAATAGGAAAGAACAAACAACAATTTTAAGACTTCGGACTGGACACTGTGGTCTTCGAGCACACCTGTACAGGATAGGCATACAAGAATCTGCTGCCTGTGATTGTGGAGCAGAACGACAGACCCCTGGGCATATATTACAGTACTGCCCTAACCTCTCTCAGCAAAGACTGTGGATCTGGCCCAAGGGAGCCACATTGAAAGAGAAGCTATGGGGGACCGGTGGCGACCTTAAACGCACAATCCTATTTGTGACCCAGACGGGACTCAATGTTTGGCATAACTGATGTCGAACGCAGAAGAAGAAGAAGAAATTAGTGAAGCGGCAAAAGAAGAGAAGGGAGCACACTCTCTTGCGTTTGAACTTACATTTTATCCACATGTAAAGCAGACGGGGTCAAATGTGGTCGTCGGTCCGGCTCTTCCAGAGATCTCTTGTTCGGGTTTCTGTCTCGCAGTTAACACATTTCTCATCCTCAAACAAAATGGTGAGCAGACAATAAGTTAATTATTTATTAGTAAAGTCTTAGAAAGTTAACGTTTGCGTGGACTTCATGGTTTTTTTAATATGTAGAGCAAAGATGCATCTTCATAAATAAAACAATGGAACTTACGTAGTTGTTACTTGTTCTGTTGTTGGTGATTATGATTTGCGGTACCAACATTCCGTATATTCCCGATTGCAGTGGTGGTATAGTCACCGGAAGTCCGCAATTTACATGTGACTGAGGCCCTGTCAGGGTGGGTTTTTTTTGGGCCGCCATAATATGTTACCGTTATTCGTAGCCTCTTCCACATTTAATAGCCCTGGATTTTTAGACGCAACAGTCCTTGAGTATCTACTGTTGTCACGAATCTATCCCTCAGTAGTACGCGCTAGCTAAGTTGGTTAAAACTTAAACCAGCTGTGCAGCGATCGGGTGGAAAACTCGGCTCTACTGGCAAATTTGGCCGGTAAGCTGGACTGCTTCGGCCGGCTTAGCGGGGCTAAGTGAGAGTTATGTCCCTTCGCCAAACTCAAAACAAGTCGCGGAAAAAGTCACGAATCAAATGACATACTTACCTATCATCATCCGGGTGCGTGTAGGGTTGCGTCTAGGGTTACCTATCATCATACGGTTGCGCGTAGGGCTGCGTAGGGTGTCTATCATCATCATACGGTTGCGTGTAGGGATGCGTAGGGTGTCTATCATCATCATCATACGGTTGCGTAGGGTTTGGGTTATCGGTAGGGTTAGGGGTGTGGGTTAGGGGTAGGGTTAGGGTTAGATGATGTGAAAATATTCACGTAGGAGGTGGAAATACTGGCCGACAATCTGATGCTTGTGGGAGTGGCACCCCAAATATGACGGCAATAGCGCGCGGCTGATGCCCAATCGGTGGCGAATTATCCGTGTCAGTAGAACCCACCGTCCGTCGACTGTTTGCGCGTGCATGCGACTGTGCGCGATTGTAGGGACCTACGGCGTCACAATTGTCACATCTAACGCTACACCTAACCCTAAACCCTACACCCTAACCCTAAACCCTAAAAGCTAACCCTAACCCCTAACTCTACCCCTCATCTATCTTACGCAAACAACCAACCCTACACGCAATAAGCAGCCCTTCACGCAACCGTAGGACGATGATAGACACCCTACGCAACCCTACACGTACCCGGATGATGATAGGTAAGTATGCCGTTTGATTCGTGACTTTTTCCGCAACTTGTTTTGAGTTT